TATTTCACACGTACTACAGTTAAGAATAAATCAAAGAATTAATTCTTGTAATAGACAATTTCTCAACCCCGATCATAAACTGAACTGCTCCCATAGTTAACTGCGGTCTCCACGAATGACGTCCAGCTCTAGACTTTTCAGTTTGTCGTCGTTTTTGTTGGTCTACCAAACGCTTCCTCCATTGGATAATCAGTCTATCCATCTTTGAACCCTTTTTACTATGTATAAACCAGTGTTCGATACATGTATTTGTGTCGTTCCTTCGTTCCAGCTCTTTTCAAGTATAAACTGGTTTCATACCCTACTCCACACAGTACTGAGTGATAATTTGGTGCATTATCGCCCGACGTCACCTTTTTTGACACTATCTTACTAATTGGACATGTAACATCATATTTTTTGTTATTTATGAGGTCGAAGTTTTTAATTTTTTACACATGAGTACTCTAGATCGTACAGTTTCTATAGATTTGATTTTTGTCACATATTTCTCTATATCTTTGTAATAAAGAAAACATAGATGGCAATGCTAATTTTGAGAGTCAAAAAATTGCCGTGCGAAATATTTAAAAAGTTCGCGTTTTTCTGGGACAACCCTCGTATATAGAATACTATAGAAAACTTAGCTATTATATGTTTGCGCCCCCTTAATAAAAACGGCTGATGACCCATCTTCGCTAGCCAAGGGTTTCTGATACGCTACTCTCCTCATAAACCCTTGGCATACGGTGCTGACAAAAGACGGGTTTGTTTTCGTCACGTGATCACGCTTCTTACCAGGTACGCACAGATTGCGTCATCGACAGAAATAAAAAGCGTATTTAAAAATATAATGTTTTTTAAAGAATAATTAACAAGAAGGTATTGAGTTATGTTAATTTGTTATTAAAGTTATTAAACATGTTAAAATGCAAATTTACATCTTCAGTATAGATTCTTAATCACATATTTTGCACGTAGCTTAAGATATTGGATGACACCATATAGCTATTCATAGAATGACATGTTATCTTACGGATCGTTGTTTACTTGCGTTTTTCATTCCCGATATTAAGGAGTCAAGATATATCCCGAACGCAAATATCGTCATTTACAAAAAACAATTGCTGATTGGTCGAATGATGTCGATCAACTCCAATCACAGCTTGAGAAAAAAATCCCAACTTTTTTTAACACCGTATGCCAAGGGCTTATGAGGAGAGTAGCGTATCAGAAACCCTTGGCTAGCGAAGATGCTGATGACCTTTTTTTTTTTTATTTTTTTTTTTTTTTTATTTTTTTTTTTTTTTTTTTTTTTTTTTTGCTTGTCAAGGAATTTTTTGGTAGTTGATAGTGCCCCCCTACTGAAAATGTTTGGCTATGCCACCCAAACTGAAATTGCTTCCTACGGGCCTGACAAGCATCCAGTGTATGGCAAACAAAATTAAGTGGGGATGCAAGTCTAAACTTCAAGTAGAACTTCCATGAAACCCCAGAAACCTCAAATTAATGGAATCAATAAAAAACGAGATCAGATATCCATATCTTGCCCCCACGTGCACTTGATCCATGTGCTTTATACAAGTACCATCTTTAATTTTCTGGATAATCTCTTTTTTTTTTTTTTTTAGAGAAATGATTAATTTTTAAGTCTTGTCCAAGGAATAAACATCAAATCAATCTGTTCCAACAAATATGTTATTGGCTATAAGTTGTCCATGCAAATACCCAGTTCGTCCGAACAATACCTAATACAAACAATTTAATAATTTAATATACTCTCTTCTAACGCGCACGAGTATATTAAGTCCTCCAATGGAAGAAAAGAACTTATTTGTCCACACAAATATCCTGTTCGTCCGAACGAAGAACAGACTTATCAGAACTATTGTCTTTTTTGTCAGAACAAATATCTAATTCGTCCGAAAAATAAACATATTTTTTCACTGTATTATTGGAATATATATTCCGTATAGATCTATAAAAGCCATGGCCTTCATGGATTTTTTGTAAATTTGTTAAAGTTATCAAGAAGTTGGCGATGGAAAAGCCAATACGGAAGTCATCCCGTTTGTCATATAGTTGTTAATTGGCCATAAACGTCTATAATCAGAAGAATATCCAAATATGACTGATTAATTGTATGTTGTTTTACGTCCTGTTCGAGAATTTTTCACTCACATAGAGACGTCACCATACACCGGTGAAGGGCTTCAAATTTAGACCTTTACTCGGCACTTAGGGCCATTGAGCAGTAAGGATTCTTTATCGTGCCAACGCCTACCGTGACACGGGTCCTCGGTTTTTAAGGTCTCATCCGAAAGACCCGCAACTTTCACTTCAAAGTGCCGAGCGCTTGGCGAAGGAACAGTTGCTACCTATTTTTTATCGACTTAGGTCAGTCGCGACCGTAATTCGAACACACGACCTTCCGATCACGGAGCGAGCGCTCTACCGAATGAGCTACCGTGACGGTCTATCCAGATATGAAACAGATGATAAAGAAAAGAGTCCATACACAGTGATCACGTGACGGCAGATGTTCTACCTCCAGGAAAGAAAAACTTGAACTGTCAGTTAATTCGTTCTTTGTGTGAAAAGGTTTGTCAAACCATTCACTGACGGATTTAGAGGGAACAACCCAACCCAATAACCCCCCCCCCATAAATCTTTTTTTTGGGGGGTTGGGATATTGCATTTTAAAATTATACCTAAAATTTAGCTAAATTAAATCAAGAAACTGTTCCAAAAACCTCCTAAGACCCGAGAGCTTTAAAGGGTTTTGCCCCCTGCCCCCCCCCCGACTCCCAATCCCCCACCCACCCGACCCCCAATTGGCCCCCTTTCAAGTATCCTGGATCCCAATTGGCCCCCTTTCAAGTATCCTGGATCCGCCACTGACATTTCCATGACAATGGACGCGATTTTAAAAAAAATATTAAATGAAAATGGCATATAACTAGTGTTTTTGATCATTATTTCTGTGGAGTTTCATAGAAATCGTTTAAGATGTCTGCTACAACTTTCTTGGACAAAATCTGTAAATTTTTCCATTTGTTTCCCTGGCAATGGTCATCATTTTGAAAAATCAAAATATTCAATGCACATCTAAAGTTGCTGCTCGTCATTTCTGAAAATGCTCGGACAAAATAATAGGTCTAGCGATACAAATATATCGTTCCGAAATGTTCTGGATGACATATTAAGAGTTTTAACCAATACCCACTGTAAAGTATTTATTGTGTGATTGTAGCTCATCTGAGCCAAAGGCTCAATTGAGCTTTTCTGATCGAAATTTGTCCGTTGTCTGTCGATGTTGTCGTCGTTGTCGTACACTTTTTACATGTCATCTTCTCCAGAACCACTGAGCCAATTTCAACCAAACTTGGTACAGAGTATCCTTCAGTAAAGGGGATTCAAGTTTATTCAATTGAATGGCAACATCCTCTTTCAAGGGGTGATAATTAAGAAATGGCAAAAATTGGGTGTTTTTTTTTTAAATCTTCTCAAGAACCACTGAGCCAGAAAAGATGAAACTTATGTGAAAGCTTTTTGACATAGTGTGGATTCAAATTTGTTCAAATCATGACCCCCGGGGGTAGGGTGAGGCCAATATGGGTGATCAAAGTTTTACATAGGAATAGTTAGGGAAAATCTTTAAAATTCTCCTTCTCGTGAAATGCCAATTCATGAACAGTCATATTTTTACAGATACATTCATAGATAATGTAGATTCAGGTTTGTTCAAATCCTGACCCCCCTGGGGTTATGTTTGGGCCACTATGGGCGATCGAAGTTATAAATGGGTACAAATAGGAAAAATCTTTAATCTTCATGATTAGTAGTATTTGTATAGAAGCATTTTCTCAATCATGACCCCTGGGGTAGGTGGCTATGGCCACTATGGGGGATCAAAATTTTACGTAGGAATACATTGGGAAAATATTTGAAATTCTTTTTCTCAAGACCAGCAAAGCCATGATTAGTTCTATTTATACTGAAGCATCGTCAGGTAATGTATATTCTAATTTGTTCAAATCATGACCCCAGTGGTAGAATGGGGCCATTATGGCCAATCAAAGTTCTACATAAGAATATATATGAAAAACCTTTTAATTTAAAAGTCCTATTCTTCAGAACAGCAAAGATATGATTAGTCTCATTATATCATCGTAATATATTATCTTAATTTTACGTACGAATACTGAGAACATACTAGGTCTAATAAATAGAATCACATGTAATGCTGTTGAATTACATTTTAATTGCGTGTTCGTCCAGCGTCAGAAAGAAAAAAAAAACAAGAGAATTAAACGTTGAGTCGCAAACTTGGCATCAATCACCTTTTAAACTTTGTATCACGCTGTTGGGATAGGGGTCATTTTTCAACCGGTGGTCAATTTCTGAAAGGTTGCACATGTAGAAAACTGACCTAGGGTTTTTTCTAACCCCCCCCCCAAAAAAAAAACAACATTTTTCTACGACTGGAGATGGGGGTGGGGGTCATTTTTCGACTTTGAAAAATGATTGACACCTTGTCATTTTTCGACGGGGGTTATTACACAGGCTGTATTTGGTTTTGATTTAAACGATGTTTTCATTCAATTAATAATATTACTAGTAATTTAATATCAAGATGGAAATGTATTCATGGTTGCTTTTTTCTGGTAAAATGTATATTTAATTCTATTATTTTTATCTCTAGTTCCTTGGTAAAATTAAAAAAAATAAAAAATACAGACGAATATTAGTAAAATGCACACCTATATACAAACACAAGAAATTTAGAAAAAATACTGTACGATCTTGATAAATTTGAGTGCAGGAAATAAGAAATAATTGATTCATCTAGTGTATTTCCATTTTTTCATGTATCAAGCTTCCTCTTCCACCATTTCTTGATCTGGTGCGACACCTTGAACCATCCTGTCCAAAGGAGCGTTTTCCTCCCCGGAAACACACTCTGAAACATGTTAGACACACACTTTAATATGGAAGATAAGAGGACGAGCAAGATTTTTTTAAAACAGCCACATGTCCATTAGCTTTGGGTCCGTTTAATTACAGTGTTACATATGGATTGACTAGGGGGATTAATTTCAAGGTTTGCGCATGTAACATGTAAGTACTTTTTTTCTTTATGTCTTTGATTAAGCTAAAAAATGTTAATATATGAACTACTGATAAATTTTACCACGTCCTTGTACATAAATATATAAATAATTGTAGTCCTAAACAATGAGGAGTTTCTGTGAAGGGTGGATATTGGTAATACTAGTATTTCTGTGGACAAATTGGAGTACCCCAGCCTATTCCGGAGGTACATGGCTCACTGAAGTTATTATTGTGAAAGAATTTTTAAAAAAATGCTCTGCTATAGCTTGGTTTTGGGAGGAATTTGCTCATGAGAATTAACTTTAATATGCTTTCCTTATATAGTTCCCGCATGAAATTAAATAAAAGTACGTCTGACACCTATATGTTTCTGAATTTTCATATGAATTCTTTCATATAAACATATACTTTATTCTGTTTAGTTTGCTTACTTTATCCTATACGTCGTTAAATACAATGATTCTTGGCTTACGGTCATTTATCTATATTTTATTTATTTTTAAGAAACCTTGTACAAAGATCAGATGACTACAGTGCGCCTTCCCTGCCAGTCACGGGACACGAAGGTATTTGGTATACGATTCTACTGTCAGATATCCCAAAAGTGAATTACAAAGAAAAGGGTATCTTTAACTCAAACTTTTCACTACATTCCTACAAGGCTAGAAAATGCTTCTTTTTAAAAATAAATCAGCAAATACGGCAGTACATTTAGGATGAATTAGTACTCTCTCATATGAAATTTCCTGAAAGAATGTTTTGCTATGATCATATGCCAAATAAATGGTGTAGATAGTTTAGATCATTCTGCAATCAGCAGCTGCCTTTTTTGTTGACAACAGTGTTTTAGAAAACATTAAAGATTTACATCATTTGTCAGTGGTATGCACCATGCTTCCTAAAATGACCTATTATTAAGCACCAGTCTTAAATAAATTGTCCATTACACAGGCCTCTAGAGTGCCTTTGAAGCTTAGACGTTTTTGTAAGGAGGGGGGTGTAACAAATAAGAGGTTTTATTCTTCCGGATTGAGGGTTCAAATTGTTACTCGTTAAAGAGAAACTATCGATATTTTCAAAAGATGATGTCGCAGTTTTAAATTCAAACTGGCAATTTGCTTTTGTAAATGTAACGTTACATACATTCAGACAGGAGCACACTACAATCCTGTATTTATCATAACATTCAATGCAGCATATATCATATTGTTTGTTGTTCATGTACGTATTATTTAGTTCTGATCATAATGTTTGCCATCCTCGCATGGATTTCATGCATAGCTTTTTTTTTTTTTTAGCTTTTTTCTTCAGAAGACCCGCATTAAAGCAAAATTGAAGTTTAAGAATTTGGACTCTCGTTACATTTAACCATCATCTATAAACAAATAAAGAAAGATTATTCACTGGAAAAAACAAGGTCTTTTGATTTTGTATTGTAAATTGTATTGTATTTGCACTGTGGTTCCCGTAATCATCAATTTATTTCAGTCATGATTGTGTAATCTTATTTCCTTCAGATTTTCTTCATTGCAAAATGTTTGAAACTGAAAGTTTGAAAAAAATCCTTAGAAGATAGCATTACAACAAAATTTTAATGTAAACTTTTTAGTTGTACGAACATATAATTAAGTTTTTTGTCTGTGTGCAGATGCCAGTAATATGGGAAAAGACACCGGGTAGCCAAACTATTTTCTTTAACGAAATAAGTCACACTAATGATGATAAGTACTCCCTGGGTAGAAAATATAAAGACGATTGGACCCTGGTGATCAATACACTTCTGAAGAGGCATGAGGGGGTGTACGTGTGTTTGCAGATTCTTCGTGGTAAAAGAACCACCCTTAAAGAATATACACTCCTCTTGAATGGTATGAATTTAAGTTCACATTGTTAATTAGGTATGCAATATTTGCTTCTATCGCCAAGAGGAAGCCGCAAAATAGCAGTGACCGAAAAACTTGCTCGAGGTTAAAATTTGTTTGAGGGAGACCGACTGGGGTTTTTATTGCGCAGTACTTCGCGCAACATAGTAAAATCAAGCGTATTTACTTTTTAAAAGCAACTATTTTCACAAAATTTAGCAAATTTAACAAAATTAAGATACTACATGTTAAAAAATTTCATCAAAGCTTCAAATAACTAATTTTTTTAATTCAACTTACGGGTAGATGGACGTCCTTATTGAAATTGAAAATTAATTAGTGAAAGACAATACTAGTAGTTAAGAGTCGCTTGTCAGATGTGCCAGACTCCGCATCTTTTTAGGTAATCGGAGTCAAACAATAATCAAGATGAAATAAAATGACATTGGATATTGTAAGCATGTATGTATAGTATAGATGTGACTTTAAAACTTTTAAACACAGGTCCACCTCAAATACCACCGAGTACACCTTGGTCGATAAAAATAGCAGTAGAAGAGGGTGGCACGGTTGACTTGTGGTGTAACGTATCGAGTCCGACAAAGCCTCTCATCCGCTGGTTCACACAAGAAAATGGACTACTAAATCGTATGTATCGGCAAGGGCGATTCCGTATTTTTTTTCCGGGGAGAAGGGAGGGGGTGTTCCATACCCACAAAAAAATCCGACTCGGAAAAAGACCACCCCGAACCCCCCCCCCCCTTTTTTCCCTAGATCCGCGCATATTCACGTTATAACGTTCAGTTATTTAAAAGGACTAGTAAAGCTTGTATCGTACCTTAAGATGTCAGTTTTATGCAACTAAAAATTGTAAATACTAGTAAAAAAAGACAAAATGGTAAAGATAAATGGAAGAATGTTGTCAATTAATGTAGGTATGTGGCATCATTTTTTTTAAATGGAAGGGGGTGCAGAAAAAGAGATTCACACTTTCATTTTTTGCAGAAAACATTTTGGTAATATAACTTGAGAGGACTTCACCATACTGTATCAAGAAGTTGGGAAAAGGGGGGGGATGAAAATTTCCGTACAAAATTTAGAGCAAAAAAGCAGAAAAAAAAGCGGGGGGAAAAAGCAGAGTGTCAGACCCCTCTCCTATACATGCGTAAAACAATGCTGTTCCCTAAAATATTTTTAAATTATTTTTTTTTTTAAACTGTGTAATCAGTGTCAACGTATGACATTATAATATAAAGTAATTTAAATAGATCACTGATACCTATACTGGACAGATGGAAAAGTAAGTTTAGGCATCTCATCAAAATCATTTTTACTTGAATATATCTGTTTCCCCTATGATATGTAACATTAAATATTCTGATTGTATATGTTCATTGACTCACTCTGAGACAATAACCGTAATTTCAATATTGCTTTATAAATACAACATTATACAGGCACAGTTTGTGTTTAGAATAAACTATGGAGATAACAAACAGCATTCAAGCTCAAAGTCCATTTAAACAATACAAATCGGGAGCAGAGTAAACACTGACCTCCAAAAACATCAGAGGTGGGATCAGGTGCCATGGAGGAGTTAGCATCCCCTGTCGATCGATCACACCCGCCGTGTGCTACTTGTCATGATCGGGAAAAATTCGTAGACAATTCAGTGTGTAAATAATGGTCTAACAGATATTATGAAAAACGTAAGTCATCATTTGACTTAATAATAGGTTGTACTTGCTGACAGGGTCAAACCTTGCGAAATGGTGACTTCAAACAAGGCTTTTGTTATCCTTGTTTCATCAACTTGTTTGTCAATAGCTTGCCTCGTTTTAGATATTGTTCATACGTAGAGCATGCTCTTGCGTATCGAATCAACTGGGAGACAAAAAACCTATATGCAGGTGTTAGGGGTATATTGCTACATAAGTAAGGGAAGTTGACGATTGAAACATTGAAGTCATCACGTTTATCAAAAAAATTTATTGTTAGGTTACCATTAAAGTCTTTTTCTAGTAAAATATTTAAATATGAAACGGATGTGTTAAAAATTTTGGAGAGAAATTATATTTGTGTTTGTACAGATGGACCACTCTTTTTCAGCGATCCATGTCAACGGTCCACTTCTACAAGTCCGCAACATTTCCAGATTTTGTGCCACAAAACACGTCTGTCTCGCCGAGAACGAATACTCCAATAGTCCCATCAATATGACCTTTGATATCGAAGTAGAATGTAAGATAAGCATACTTTGTACTACATGGATAGATTGTTTATTTTTTCGAGATTCCCTGGTCTTAGATTTGTTCAGCTAATATTAGTTATTTTGGATTTACGTTATTCGGCATATTATTCTTACTTTGTGAGATTACCAGGGGATTTTAATGCAAACAAAAGGGCCCATCTTCACAACATTAATCTGGGTAATCTTGACCTAAAATTATTACCTCCTTTGTTGACTTGCCCTAGCCCCAGGGGCCATGACTTTCATCTACACTAATCATCTACACTATACTTGTAAATGTTGGTATACATGTACTAACCATCTATATCCTCGCCGTTCTTGAGATTTTTTGAAAAGAATTTCTTTGTATAACCCCATACTGAGGCCCAAACCTAGCTTAGAAAATTTAAAAAATAGAACACGACAGGTTCAGTTAACAAAAATTGTCTTTTCTACGCAAGATTCACAGAGTGTGGCTAAAATCAGGGGCACTTTACGTTTTTAATCTTTCTCTTTATTGATAAAAATATCCCCATACTATAATAATAACGTTATTATTAAAGTATGGGGATACTTTTAATAATTTTTTTTCAATAAAGAGAAAGATTTAAAACATCAAGTGCCTGTGGTTAAAATGTCTGAATGTATGAAAGAACTTTTCATCACTTTAAAGGGAACCACGAATCACCATTTTTGTCCCCCGCTTTCACTGAAAGAGAGGAATATTCCATATATTAATTTGGGTCGGTCCGTCCGTTCATTCGTCTGCCATTCTGTCTGTGTTTGACACTTTCCTTTCCGGATAATATCTCAAAAAGCCTTTAAGCTTTTGCAAAGAATTCTGTATCACAAGTCCCTATGGCCTAAAGAAGATCCCTATTGATTTTCAGGTCAAAAGGTCAAGGGCATAATTTCGTACATTCTGTCAATATGTAACAATTTTGTTTCTGGACGATATTTTTTAAAAAGTCTTTGAGCTTTTGCAATGAAATTTTACATCACAACTTCCTATGACTTAAAGAAAACCCCTATTGATTTTGAGGTCAAACGATCAAAGATCGATGTCATAAATTATAACATTGCAAATAACATTATACAGAATACAGATTATAACCTTTGTGTTCTTGGAGCTTTTTTTTAAAATCATATCACAAATCCCAAATGACCCAAAGAAGACCATTTTGATTTTGAGGTCAAAGGTCAAGATCAGAAATTCATATTAATTGCATGTATCGTTTTCAGGTGATAAGTTATCTCTAAGCTTTTGCAATAAAACGTAATTAAGGTCATGGATTTTTTAAACTTGAAATATACCCCTATTGACTTTAAGGCCAAAAGATGAAAGGCCAAGGTTGACCTTTTTTCTTTCTATATCTGCATAATTTTTTTTCTTCAGTTCTTCCACCTTTTTCTTCCTTAAGCGGGGGATACAAATTCTATGAATTAGCTTCTTCATGTTGAATTACACCGGCCATGTTTATATGTACAGATGTATATTATTTTGCAGTTGCTGCGCGAATACTTTTATATGATGTAAGACCCAACAAAAAAGATTTACTATCGAAGACACTCTACCGAAAAAGAGATGTTGAAGTGATATTACGATGTGACGTCATGGCATCACCTGATGTTGAAATATACTGGAAGGTCCAAAAATTTAACAAATCTGAACTCCAAGAACTAGCATGCTACACACCAGGAAAGGGGATCTCAAAGATCAATATCACAGAGAACATTTATAGATTTGACATTTATCATGTCCCACAGAAAAGCGTGACAATGTTTGACTTAATTTTCACAACGAAACAAAACTTTACCTTCTCAAAGTATGTATGTGAGACGGAAAGCGGTAAACTTCCGGGCGAGAAGAAAAGCATCACTGTTGCCCAGAGACGATAGCAAAGGGAAACAAAATCATATACACATCAGGTCAAATTTAGTGAAAAAAAAGTGATCTGACACTGTGAATGTTTTAATACATTTTTATTACAAATGTTACACATGCATTGCATTTTTTAAAAATATTTTACCTGTGCCTGTACTGTAATTTCAGTTTGATATGATGAACTGGCTAATGACCAATATCCGGACAATACACATACGATACATTTTTCAGAGATTTTGTCCGCATCGTACGAACCAACAAGTGCCTGTGGTACGAACCCATATATGCAACCTAAGTTTCTGTAAGCTTTATAATAGCATAGGTCCAGTCCAGCTGCGTGTTGTTTATCTTCTGTGCTTTGTTGGCACGAAGCGGAACCAGGAAAATGATGTTAACTTAGCAGAAAAATCTTTGACAAGAAAATAAAAAAGAAAAAGAAAATTGTAGAAATACAAAAATCCCATTTCTGGGTGGGGGTAATGGGCAGGTTTTAACTTTTTCGACAAGAAAGATTTTGAATACAATAACTTTGGAGAATTTGCAACAAAAAATGTGAGTGACCGGTCTTTAAACTGTTAAATGAATATTTTCACCCTTAATTAACAGTTAAAGATTGGGTTTGGGGAAAATGGAACTATCAGCGCACCCCTCCCCACCCCGCCTGCTTTGCACACAATACACAGTATTGTGAATTTTAAAAATATATATGGCATACTTTCATCATAGCACCCTCGTCCAAATATATAGAGGATATTCAATGTTTTGTTGTTGAATATTGAATTTATTTCACGAGTGGGACAGGATTTTTTGACATTTTCACGAGTGCAAAGCACGAGTGAAAATATAAAAAAAAATTCCTGTCTCACAAGTGAAATAAATTCCATATCCAACTACAAAACATTGAATTTTCTATTTATTTCATTTTCTTTGATTTTCCCTTTGTCTCTGTCTTTTCTTAACACAATGTAATAGGCTGTGACATCATAGTTGAGATCATGGCTTAGCAGTTGTGAAATGAAAACATTGTAATATGGATTTTAGCAACATATTTTGGAAGAAATTGGCAGTTTTAGTCTCTGTCAAGATGGTTTAAGTACTATCTCAATCTTACTACAGGCCAGAAATTATATTTTACTTACTTTGATATCCTTTCACACTGTGAGAGAATATCACTTTGGTATCCTTTCACACTGTGAGAGAATATCACTTTTATTCAATGAATAAATCACAGTATTTCACTGTTGAAAATATATATATATATATATATATATATATATATATATATATATATATATATATATATATATATATATATATATATATATATATATATATATATATATATATATATTTATATATCGTAATACAGAAAGGAAAAAAGAAACGCAGGGTGAACTTCTGATGTGATTTAATGATAATTTTTGAATGTATTTTCCAATACTGTTATCTAACGTTTACACACATCTTCAATCAACAAGTTAAGAAAGTTTCATTTGATTTAGACGAACAATTCAAGAGAATTTGAAACTCATATAACGGTACCCCTACAAAAGTGAAATCGAAAATGTAGTCAATATCTCCTATGCCTTTCTTACGCATCGGTCACAGCCTTAATACTCCTTTCTCATAGGGATATTGTCCAACCCTTCCAACAAAGTAGCCCTTAGATGGTCAAGAGGGGCAGGGATATATTGACGCCTTCTTACTCTGCCAGTCGAATAAGTCCCACAGATGTTCAATTGGAGACAAAGGTTGATTGAACGGACACAGTCGAGTATAAGTTAATGTGATTTTTTGCCCCCGCTTTCACTGAAAGTGGGGGATATTAATTAGGGTCTATCTCTTTTGTATTTCTGTCTGTAACACTTTCGTTTCCGTGTGATATCTCGAGAAGACTGAGTTTTTGCAATGAAATTTTACATAACAACTCCATATGGCCTACAGAAGATCTTTATTGATTTTGAGGTCAAAAGGTCAAAGGTCAAGGTTAAAATATCATAAATTCTGTCTGCTTTAACACCTTCGTTTCCGTGTGATATCTCGAGAAGACTGAGTTTTTGCAATGAAATTTTACATAACAACTCCATATGGCCTACAGAAGATCTTTATTGATTTTGAGGTCAAAAGGTCAAAGGTCAAGGTTAAAGTATCATAAATTCTGTCTGCTTTAACGCTTTCGTTTCCGTGTGATATCTGGAGAAGCCTTTGAGCTTTTGCAATGAAATTTACAATTCCCTATGGCTTAAGGAAGATTCCTATTGATTTTGATGTCAAAAGGTCAATGGTCAAGGTCGTAAATTCATACATTCTGTCTGTGTGTAACACTTCGTTTCCGGGCGATATCTCAAGATAGTTTTGAGCTTTTGCAATGAAATTTTATACCATAACTACCTATATGGCCCCGCCCGCCCCTATAAAAGCTCCCCCCCCCCCGTTTTTTTTTAATTTTGATCATTTATTTTTCAAAAGTCAAATGGCACTATTTTAGCACAGGAGCACGTGGAGGGTTATTACATAAAACTTTATATTCTTATTACATCTATCAGAACTCTTTAGTAAAGGCTAAAAAAGGCACCATGTGTTGTGTAAAATTTTGACAATATCTAACGTGATTATAAACGTTATATACTGAAACGCAAAAGAGACGCAACAAGCAGTAATCTACAAATATTTGAATTTTTTATCTAATGATTTTCAAAAATGAATACAGTAAGGTTAAAACGATTTAAAAACATAAGAGATTTGATAAAAATGTGAAATGATTTTCTTTTAACTTTAGAAAGTAACTCATGACTGTTAAAACACCCCCACCCCCCACCCCGGCCATTCAATAACAGTGTGCAAGACTGCAATGCACAACAATTGCAGCTTGATTTCTACGATGCAATAGGTTCATCAATCTCGAGATCTGAGCGAAAGAAATATTCTTTGCCATTTTTAAATGCCTGTTTTTAAGATCATGAAGATGACGAGGTCGAATTTCCTCTAGCCTAGCGCCGCGTAGTTCATTCATGCTAATGATACGTAAGAGCCTCTTGAGGCGTGATGTATTGCATATTTGCACCTGCAACTCTCCATCACCTTTATTTGAGATTTTCCAACTAGAGCAATGGAAATGTGTACTTAAGTCATTTTCAGGAAGCCTTGGTATAGCTTACGGAAAAGAAAGGATAATTTATTTTTCGGAATATTGCTGCATTACTTATGATGAACAGATACAAACCATTAAAACCCCCTATTATTGCCAAATGTTTTGTAAATCATGCAATTTTTGATTTCTGTTAAGCGGACTCAAGCTTAACTTCTGGTAATTGTATGAAAATCATTCAACCGTTAAATTACAGATATTTACAAAGTTGAAGATATCCTTACTTTTTAGATACAAAATTATATCCTATAGATAATATTTCCCCCTAAAATAGGATGTTGCGTTTCTTTTGCGTTTCAGTATAAAATATGAATTTGGATCTCTTATAAATTTGGAAATGTTTTTAGGACTGTTCATCGGATGAAAGAAATAATAAACAAAAATTTAAGCAATAATATGTGTGTGGGTCTTCCAGAATGTATTGATCGTGGCAATGAAATTGTCATCGGGATCGGAATTCATTTAATTTTATTGAAACAAACTATAAAAAAAATTCAGTTTGGTCACATGACATAAAATGGCAGATAGCGAAGAGAGCAGTCCACCCTCTTCACCTGATATCCGAGATGATGAGCCAGGGAGACCTCGAGAGGTCACGATTACTAAATCAGAGACAGGGTTTGGCTTCAATGTGAGAGGCCAAGTTAGTGAAGGAGGTGTATTGAAGTCAATCAATGGCGTATTGTACGCTCCCTTACAACATGTCAGTGCAGTGCTAGATGGAGGAGCAGCACAGAGGGCAGGGATAAGGAAAGGGGACCGAATACTAGAGGTGTAAGTGACACTTTTGCAGCTTTGTTATAAGCTGATAAATTATGAGCATTGTATGAATGTTGAAAGCACTTTCTCTTCACGTGTATCAACATGAACACTGTACACATTGTATTGAAAGGCATTTCTTCTCAACATGCTCAAGTGAAAGTCTTGGAGTTAGAGATAGTTTGTTGGTTTATGTGGAAGTGGATAGAAAATTTACATGTATAAACAGCATTTCAAATCAGATTAATGTGATAAGGAATGAAACTGAGGAGTTGCATCTGCTTTTAAAAGAAATCAGTTTTGTAGAAATACTTTTCAGGCCGAGCACTAATCTCATGAGTAAGCCATCTCCTTCTTCCTTTAGAGTGAAGAGCCGCTGCTGTGGCATTTTAAGCTTGAATCAGCCATACAGCTTTAATATGTCAGACAGTGAAACCGATAGGGCGAGCACAGTTTCATTTTTGTAATTATTTTTTACAACTCTCTACACCTCTTAAATAGCTAGCACAGCAAGCGGCGCAAAGTGCCGCTCATCACTGCGAGCTCTTAAAGCAATGCCTGGGTGAAGAGAAAATTCGGAATTTTCACATTGATCCAAATGAATTTTTTTCTGTAGTTACCTTGAGACCCTCAATGCAATGCTTCTTGTTCTTGCTGCTAACTTCATTCTCGCAGCAACAACAACTAAAAATTCACAAAAATAAACTCACCTTAATTTGATGGATATTGCATACAGATAGTAGATTAAACGTTCTTTGTTAAAATTTTGCACTTTTCAAACTTCATTTATGGAAATGCAGCTAACATACAACGTCATGTGACATCACAGTCTAGACGTTCCAAATGTCTCGTGCGATTTGAAGAGGTGGATCTTAAAATTAGTGAACAACTGCACTTGCCCCAAGGGTCGCACCATCAACATATTATCGGTTGTCATTCTGTTTGTGATGTTACATTTTTCATTAATTTAAATTTCCTTTAGCCCGAATTTATTGTGTTTCAGAAGTTTTTTTAAAAAAACGATTTTTACCGGTATGACAAAATAGAAATATTTTCTTAGTTTGATTACTACCCTTACATCGGGATCAAGATTCTGAACTTCTTGGATTTTTCCAACAAAATTGGAAATACCTGAGTTGTTTAAGTGACAAAAATATGACATCAGTCACCAAGTTTTGTTTACTAAGGATGCAAACAATAATTTTTTGGCATGGAAATTGCATTTAATTCTTGGTTGTAATTTTTTTCCAAGTTGTTGCAGTGCATAAACCACCATGTTGCTAAGCACCGCAAAGAATTATTTGGTGTTTAGAATTTTTTCACGCTGCCTGATAAAAATTTCTTTGAACAATGTGTAAATTTCAACCCGAATTTCCTCCGTTCAAACATGTTGTCTATAGAGCTCGCTATTTAGTCCCCTACCAGTGAAACCAGAGGGAACTATAGGTTTTTGTCCTCAACTGTCTGTCCCACTTGGTTTTCTGCACTTTCTTTTCTACACACTTGCAGATACATGTATTGAGCAGATTTTTGGTATGCGAGTCTACCTTAATGAGTTACAGATCCAGTTTGCATTTCATTCCACTTTGATGAGTTTTGAAAGAATTACAGGCATTTCAGTTTTTAAGGGAAACCAGATTACACTTACTGGTAGCTAGGGGACAAGTATTGCTCATGCAGTGCTCACAAGATGCCTGCTTACCTAACCAAAATAGGTTAATTAGATATTTTCACTCCCTTTTCCCCTTTAATATGCATTTAAAAAAAAAAATCACAGTTTGGTTATATGAGCTAGTTTCTTATCCACTATTGTGCATAAAACCTACTTCACAAAAAATTCAGACTGTACTGTCTCATTCTCCTTTCTAAAAGTTTTGGATCTATATATAAAGCAATTGATTTGTGACCGAACGGGTACTTCATTAAAGAACTATAATCGAACCCTAGATACCGTAACTGATTGGTAATAATTCAGCACAAAGGGAAGTAACCATACTTATATCCATACCTCACTCAAGACACAAAGTGATGTACATGCTATTATCCAATGGAAATTCATCTATATGATTAATGGTACTCAATAGCAGCAATGTTTAAACAATTTTTGATTTGAATGCTTTTTGAAACATTTCTTAGTTTCTTAAATTAATACACATGTATTTAAATGAAAATTCTGTTTAACATACTTGGATAGTTTTACTCTGGTAGATAAATATTGATTGTTGCAAAACTTATTATTTTTATTATTAAAAAGATATATAAGACAAGCCATCGACCTTATTTAACACCTGTAAAATAAAACCTTGCAGACATCTGACATGAAAGTATACTAGATATATTGCCTTTCTCATATCTTTGTGTAAATTGAAGGATTGATCTGATCTTGGTTTCACATTTTATGATTTAATCGGTAGGTTATATTCACCCTACAATGTCACTATCAGATATAAATTTGCATGAAAAAAAAAAGAACTAATGTTATTTAGCTTCCAATGGTTACCAGAACTGTAAATGGGAAATAAAACTTAGTACATGTACAAACATACAAATATGAAAGTGGTTTATACTGTCTAGCATAAATGTTTTCATAGGTTTTTTTTCTGTAGCCTAAGTACTATGGTGTTTTTAATTTTAAGGGGGTATACATGCACTAGTGAGAATGTACCTGTAATAAAATTTTTACTTATTTCAAAAAATTCTTTTTTAGTTTTAATGGAGGAACCTTACACAAAAGTTCTGCTAAATTTGTGCTTAGTTGAAAAAATCTTGTTTAGTTTTAATATAGATGATTCAAGTGTAGAATTGATGGAGGAACCTTACACAAATGCACAGGAGTATATACTGTAAAAAGTAAATGCCTGTATTTTAGACATCTCTGTAAAAAAAAAGAGAAAAGATCGAAATCCTCTTTCAAAAAAGAAAAGATGAGTGATATTGATAATTCTTTCATTATTTTGATGACATTTTTCTATTGTGAATGAGAAGTACTATATTTGAGTGTACTTATAGTTCTTTCCTGAATCATTCAGTTAGAAGTCTAGGAATTGTAATGTTTTATTTCTATTCTCTTTTTTCCCCTCAATGTCATAGTAAACAAGTTACAGTATACTCCACAGAGAGTGCATAAGCTACATGTATGAAGTAATCTACAGATTCATGAGAGATGAAATCAATGAAGTAGATGACTTGTTGGTCTTCACAACCATAAAGCCAATCCTATCTAGGAAGAAAGCTGCTTAGATTTACATAAAATGTAGTAGTCTTTTCTCTTTATTTTTTTATGACTTAGGTACAGTAAAGTGTATTTTAGAATAAACTCTAAAACATATCAAAAGAGTTTCATTTGCTAAGTTTAAAAAAAATCAGTATGGAACAAATGTGTGAAATTAGCTATTGACATTTTAATGAGTCCTTTTTTTAAATGTTCATAATGTAAGTAAGACACTTATTTCCTTCATAATTTTGATTTGATATTTATAAATGACAGACTCGCCTGGCTTTGAATGTGTGTTATTGTTTTGTTGTAATACAATGCTTCCTGTAAGTTTTTTCCCATGTACATTTGAAACCCACCTATTTTTTTGAAAAGCTTTGATGATTCATTGCATTTGTAAAGGTATTTATTCATCAGTTAATATTTTCATGCAAAATGACTGTTGTATGAAAAGTTTTGGAGAGATATTTAATGATAGGATATTTTAAATGCGGCATACAGACAATGTTTTTGTCTCATAATGTCACACTACACAACAAATTGAAAAAGTCCTAAAAATGAGGATTAATGCACAGGTAAACTCCTGAGGAAGCATAATAAAGATAAAAGTGACCAGACTCCCATCAAAGTTTAGGAAATGTATGCAAAATGCAACATTTTAATCCTATAGTGCACTAAAAATGCAACTCTACAATCCTAAAGAGCACTAAAAATGCAGCATTTAAATCCTGTAGAGCACTAAAAATGTAACCTTTTAGGTCACTTTGCTGAAAAGAAAGTGAACTAGCAATTGTGATATTCACTAACTGTGACTTTCCAAGTTTAAACTTACCTGTATGATATAATTTTGATATATAATTTTAAATTCAACAAATGAGTTTAAAGAACATTACGTACTGTAAACCAACTTTTATTGCGAGCGAGAAATATCCGCGAGTTTTGCGACCTCCTTTTACTTGCAAATATTTCTCGTCGCGAACCAAATATTCACCTTGACCTATGTATTTATGTAGAATGTTGCCTTGGTCGTGAAAATTAGTAGTCACGGATGGATTGCAAACTGAAGAATCACGAATAAAAGATGTTGCGATTAATAATTGGTTTACAGTATTCACCAGTGTTTGTCTGTCTGTCTGCAGGAAATATCTGTAAAAGCTTGAAATGGATTTCAATGAAATTTTGGCACATTGTATGTCTGATACCATTGAAAAATTGATTACATGTATCAGGCATAAAGTGCATATATTGACATGTTGGAATCCATCTCGCAAATAAAGGTAAACCAGGTACAAAGATTTTTGTAGCACATGTTGTATTATAATAAGGTATTGAAAATGTTCACATATGTTACAGGAACCATGTTAATGTTGAAGGAGCAACACACAAACAAGTGGTGGATCTAATAAAAAGTGGAGGTGACTCTCTTGTTTTAACAGGTAATAAATTATTTTTAATGCAATCATGAATGCAGTGATGTATTTTCCCTGGGCAATTGTATTAAGGATGTCTTACAATATAATTGAAAATTGGATTTTGAACACTAAAATATTTTGATTCTTACAATTTTTTTGATGTTAAAAATAAAGGTACATGTACCGTATATATATAATCATATATTGAATCTTGAAGTGCATATTGAAAGGAGGGGGTGGGAGGGTTTGTTTAAGGAAAAAAAAATACCGATATAGGTTGCATGGTGGAATGAAAGACTTGAAAGCTTGTATTTGCCTAAACCAGTATGTCTGAGGCTACAGAGTATGTGTTTTATTCTGCAGTGATTTCTGTGCCAGAACAGGTTGCTGAGAGGTTGGAACCAAGTGATGATTCATCAGGACCCTCCTATATAGACTACTCTGAGCGACGCTCCCTCCCAATATCTATCCCTGACTACCAGACTGTAGAGCAGGGTGGAGAAAAATTTGTGGTAGGTTACAGTCTACCCCCTCCCCCCCCCCCCCCCCCCCCAAATATCTATCCCTGACTACCAGACTGTAGAGCAGGATGGAGGAAAGTTTGTGGTAAGCACAATCTTGCTCCCACCCAATTTCTATCCATGACTAAGTGAAGAAAATTCTGTATAAATCACAACTATTACAAAATGTACCTGTCATGGATGTCTTAGCTGCATGCTGTTTGAATTGACCATTTCAGGTCATTTAGATAATTGAACATCAGGTAAAATGAAGAAATGTCAATGGCAGTGACCGTTGGGTATTGTAGCAACTTTTTAGTGGCATAATAACAATATAAGAGTAATAAGGTGGCAACAACTGAATTAAATTTTGGCAAAAACTTAGTATTCACAAAATTAAGATGGTGATGATTTCTGTTAACTGTGGGTTCGTAAGATACAGCGGGGCATTATAGGTTTGAAAGTCTTTTTAGTCTGTTTTTGGTTTCTATTGATTTTATAGCTGAAAACTTCATCCTGGTACATTGAATTTCTTTAAGATCTTGTCTGACATGAGATGGGATTTGTTGAATCACCTGTAATGTCTGGCCATTATGTGGAACCATTAGTGCTGGCGGCCACCAGGAAGTCACAAACCTTAGCTCAATGGGTCTGAACAAACACCCCTCATCAACCTCACATCGAACAAATTGATTCCATTTTCTTATTTTGTCCATGTTTTCATTGATTTTAAAACAGCTGTCAGCCAAATTGTTTTATTTACTGTGCAGCAAAGTTTTCTTTTAGGGGTAGATTTTATTGAACTGTTCTCACAAAGTAAAGTATGTTCAACATTTCAGTCTGCACCAAAGCTATTCTGGAAGTGCTTAATTATTTAATTTGAGGTGCATCTACATGTATTTGAATACTTATGTATTAAAAAAAAATTCAGGCAACAGGCAAAAAAATTCAGTGTTAGATTTTCAATGGCATATTACTTATAATAAACTAGCCTATAGACTGTGATATTATAACTACTTGACACGCTTGATCAGTGTACAGTCACATGAGAAATTCTGTGGTCTAAATGTCTTATTCAAGGTCTGCTGCATATAGTCATATTGCTGCTTATTTGGATCAATTCTGAAAAATTTTGTCAAAATATTCATTATATGCAATTGATTTTTTCCCACTGAACAATGACAGGGCAAAAGTATGTCATTAAAATTTCCCATGGATCAAAATCCAAGTGACATGATTACACATCACATAGTGTGAAAGACACAAGATTGATATACATGTAATCCATTGTAAGATTGATATACATGTAATACATTGTAAAATCTGTTGTGGCTAAATAGCCTTGTAAGGTATTTTGGATTTCTTGACAAAGGAGCCATTACAGTTATCAGATAGTTATATATTGCTGACTAAGCAATTCACCCCAGTTACTGATTCGTGTTGCAGGTATTGTATAATTAATTCTAGAAGATCCAGTCTGTGGCCATGAGCAAGTCTTGGTATGAGCAGCATTTTCTCAATGGTTGATTTGATAATGATGCTAATTAACTCTCTGATAGCGTGTGTCTCCAAGCACATTCAGTTATAAAGGAGAATTCATGAGCTGGATTATAACACAGAAACATTATAGTGATACATATTGACACGATAGAAATGAAAATGAAAAGTGGGAACAGGAATATGTGGATGTCATGCTTAAGATATTTCACTAAAATACAGATGGTCAGTTTAAAAAAAAAAAATTAATTTTTTTAATTAGTAGTGGTACATGTCATTAAAATCTCATCTTTACAAAAAGAATAACAATTTTCCTACTATTGCATGAAATATGGAGATAACGAACAGTATTCAAGCTCTAAGTCCATTAAAACAATACAAATTGGGAGCAGAGCAAACATGGACCTCCAAAAACAGAGGTGGGATCAGGTGCCATGGAGGAGTGAGCATCCCCTGCCAAACTGTCACACCCGCTGTGTGCTCGTTGTCATGATCGGTAAATTATGGAAAAATCCACCGACAATTCAGTGTGTAAATAATGGCTTAACAATAAGTATGAAAAACGTCAGTCAGCATATGACTTAATGATAGATTGTATTTGCTGACAAGGTCATTGTATCGACCATAGAACTTATGAAATGATGACTTTAAACAAGACTGTTGATATTCTTTTTTCATCAACTTGTTTGTCAGTAACTAACTTACCTCATTTTAAATATTGCTCTTGCATATCAAATCAACTGAGAGATATATACACCCTATATGCAGGTGATAAGGGTATATTGCTGCATTAGTAAGGGAAGTTGACAATTGAAAAGTTTAAGTCATCACGTTTATCATAAAGCTTGGTTGTCAGATTACCATTAACATCGTTTTCTAGTAAAATATCCAAATATGAAACAGATGTGTCAGACTCTGTGGTATCTTTTATTTCAAGCTCACTGGCATATATCATGTCGACATATGAATGGAAAAGCTATTGTTGATTGATAATATATCGTCGATATATCTAAATGTCGAGTTGAAGGCCACAGCAAGAGATTTCTTTTTCTCATATACACACTATAAGATTTTGAATAAATTCTGCTTCTTAATATTATACTGTTTTTCTTTTGAGAAACATTTCATAACATATTTCATTATTTGTAGGTTTTCAATATATATATGGCTGGAAGGCATCTTTGTTCCCGAAGATACAGGGAGTTTGACACACTGCATTCTCGCTTAAAAAGAGAGTTTCCTGACTTCAGTTTTCCCAAAATGCCTGGAAAGAAGTTATTTACCCTGTCAGAACAGCAGCTGGATGCTAGGAGACGAGGCTTAGAGCAGTACCTAGAAAAAGGTAGAAATAGTGGATAAGGGTTTGGGGGAAATGCAGAGCGGATTTTTGTAGTTTTAAGTCAGCATAATGGGAAACAGAAGAAAAAAATATCAGTGCAATAGACTTTTGATGTACACTGTAAACCAACTATTATTTGTGACCAATTTTATTACCAATCTGTCAGTTTGAAATCCACCCTCAACATCTTGTGACTGAGGAAATACTCTTCATAAATGCTGCTAGAATTCAATAAATGGTTTGCAGCAAGAAATACTTGCAGTTAAAAGCTGGTCTTATAACTTACTGATATTTTTTGTAGGCAAATAAAGTTGATAAACAGTATTTTGTATTTTGAGCCTATGTATTACAGTTCATTTGAGTTGAAAAAATAATTATTACTTAGATCAAAATTTGCATTAGTCTGTTACCTTTTACTGTAAACTGTTTATTTGTTTTAACAAGAGAGATGGTGGTAAATTTTTATGAGATAAGTTTATTTTTAAGAAAGATATTTTTGCTAATTGACTACATGCACAAAATTGCTAAAAATAAAATTACATTTAAAAATTTCCTGATTTAAGGTACCAGTACTATTTTCTTGGAATGATTTATGATTTACATGCATCTCAAAATATAGCTAAGTTCATTAAGAATTGTAATATAAGCAGATGCAAATTTGGTTTATGTCAGTTGGAGTTTGTGAGGAAAGGATTAGATACACTTTATATGTAACACAATAGAAAATTGACATCTGACAGCTGAAGTTTTTTTTACTTTAAGCATTCCTTAGCAAATTTTTTTCAGTGTGTGCTGTACGGGTAATTGGTGAATGTGACTATGTGCAGGAATTTTTGGCTGCCCCAGAAATTGATCAAGTAAGCTGAAAATTTATCTTCTATTAAAGCAAGTTGATCAAGAAGTTTGTATAACCTTTTGATACCTTTGATAATAAAATTCGTGAAAACACGTCAAACTCACATGTTTTGATTTGCTTACATGTGTATGTACATCAGAATAAACTGTTTCTGTAGGGGTATTTTAACTTGCATTTAATTACTTACATTAACAGGAAAACAATCACACAAGTTCAGAGGTAGAACTGAAAGTGCTGCTTCCAGATCGCAACCTGTGTGTTGTCAAAGTTAATCGCAATGACACAGCTGATGAAGTCTATAAGGTAAGATTAAACAGGAACTAAATTTTTCTGTTTTTCACACACATTTAGAAGAATATATATATTTGTGTTGTGCAATATCCTTCTTTTTATTTATAATGACCTGTCTTAAATTACTGGATCAATTTTAACCAAATTTGCCTTGGTGAGCCTGAACAAGGGTCATGTGGACAAGGTCAAGGTTCAGAGGTATAATGGCTTATTTAGGAGTCATTGCTTGGCGCAAATGTTGCCTGTAAGGTAGTGTGTATTAATTCTAAGCTATGGCTCAGAATTTTTAATCTTGTTTGGGTTATGACTTTTTTTAAAAACTATGATTGCAGAGACACATAATTTCTTACCCAACACCACAGATACTACTGACAAGTGAAGTGTAGCAAACTTTAGCCTATAAAATTTTCAACTAGGTTTAAGATATTAACATTTACGTAGCCTTAGACTTCTTTTGAATGACTCATTTACTCAGAATTGGTTAATTTCATGAATAATGATAGCATTACAATGAAAGCTTGTTACAGAAAGGCAGGGAATCACAAAGAACAAATTATTTCTACCATCATTAAACTTTTAATTGATAAATTGGGAAATTTCAGCCAAAGTCTTTTTCTCTTTGTAGGCTGTTGTGTCCAGGCTACATATGTCAGAGACTGCAGCTCACTGCTTTTATTTATTTGAAACAGTGGAATATAATTTTGGTAAGAAATTCTTGGCAATTCATTTTTAATAAAGTCATCAACAAGAATAAAAAAGGAAATTCAATTATTATATAGAAAAGAAAGCTTTCCCATAGAATCTGTCTCTTATATTAGAACTTCCTTTTTAGGTCACCTGAGGCACTAAGATGACCTATTTCTCTCTGTTTTCATCCAATGTTTTTCATCATTCATAAACTTTTGAACATTTTCAGCTTCTTCTCTTGAACCACTAAACCAATTTCAACTAAATTTAGTATATAGCATCAATGGGCAAAGGATTCAATGGGCAAAGGGGAACCAAAATTGTGAATTTCATGATGTCTGTCAAGCATGGGACTGAGAAATCAAAATTGATGTAATCTTAAAAAAATTCTTTACTCCTGAACATCAAGCAATCAAACAGTTTGCATAATTATAATAAGTTGGAAATTCATTCCTCTGGGTCAGGATTTGGTGTTAGAGTTGGGCTCTTTTGATCATTTAGTGAAGATGCATTGATTCTTAAAAAGTCTTCCTCTTCAAAAATTGTGAAATTCAAGGCTTCTGGGTCTGGGGTTCTAGTGTTAGAATGGGACTTTATTGATCATATAACAAAATTGCATTTATACTTTGAAAATCTTCTTATCTGCTCCTGGATATTTTCAGCAAACAAACTAAGTGCATGGTAATGATGAGCAAGGTGCTTCTTTCAAGTTTGTAAAATTCATAGTTCCTGGGTCAGGGTTTCTGTTGTTAGGGTGGGATTTTATTGATCATGCTTTGAAAATGCATTATTTCTTTGGAAATATTTTGCAATGCTCCTAGGTACAGTGGAGCCTCATTTATCCAGACACTTTGGTTCCCAGTCAATTTGTCCGGATATGTGAAGTGTCCTGATACCTGAATTGCATTGATTTTAGTTATATGGCCTTTCATACCATTTCAGTAGTAAAGAATGTTGCTTTTTATCAATATGTTTTATTGTTTAAATACTTTAATATAAGTTAGTACTACTCAATACTTGTTTAAATAAATAAAAAAGTACATGTGTCATTGGAAAAAAAACATGTTTATATGGTCACATTAATTAATTCTACTTCCCCGTGTCTAATGTATCAACTTCTCCTAGTAGCATGTCGGTACGGTACTGTCGGTAGAGTCTTATTTAATATGAACGCCCATCTATGCTAAATGTGACATAATCTGCATATGTATACGAACGCTTATCATAATCATCCAAAGCAAGATCGTATTAACGATTGTATGATTTTGAAAGTGATTTTATAAATATCATCAAATCATAGAATGTGTTTCACGCACAAAATACTGTGCATAAAAAAAACTCCAATGTCATGTCTATAGATACATAAAACCATGTTACGACTATATTCTAACAGTAAAAGAAATACATTTTCCGACTACGAAAAAGTTATCCTAGACTTATAAAATTATTTTCCTTATTTAATACATATCAAAACCATGTTAGAGAAGCGAGAGTCTCTTGCGTACCTATCGACCTACAATTTACCTTGCCACAAGCCATTGATAACAGGTCGCAGGTGATCATCTTTTGAAACAAACAGCCAGGCTAGTGTTTTTACAACAATTATAACACCCAGATCAAGAAATTTGAGCACACTTGACAGACCAGTTAAGAAAATTTCGTCCTCTTTCTTAGAAATTACAAAAAATCCATATAGTTTATGACATCACATTAACAAGAATTGCCAATAATCTACTTCCAAACTGTAACATTTTTTGTTAATTCTGATTTTTCATGCAATATAAACTATTATGTGCATTTCTAGAGATTTTCAAAATTTGGTTTTCATTGGGGCAAAAATATGCTTTTGTCGCATATAGTCCTTTATTGATGTTTTCATTATACACAGGACAGCTAGATGGATTTAATATGCATTACTATAAAAACCTTTCAATCTAAATGTGTCATAGAGAAATGTTATACCTTTTAACTTTAAAAATGTAACGGACAATCCATATTGACCCCTGCAAACGAATAAAAATAAAACTTAAGGCAGTGAAAAAAAATTATCAGATTGGGTTGATTTTGATGGGTTGGTCGGAGTACATCAAACAAATAATTTTTTATTGTTGGCCTTGTGACAAATGGGAGTACAGTAATAGTACTGACATAGACACAAAAGTAGAGAGGTCTACTTTCAGAGTTGCTGCAGATTACCGGATGTAGCAACACCGTCTTTATCAGCTTATTTTGTTTTATTATATAATTATTATATGCCATTCTATAGATTCTTTACAGGGTTGTATTATACTCAGGTGACCTTTAAGGCCCTTGAGCCTCTCATTAAGAGATGATGTTTTTCAGCACTAAAGGAGGAAATGCATCTTTCATAAATAATTTAAATGTACTAATTAAGCCATTTGATATTTAGCATTAATTAAACTGTTTTTTATTTTGCCTTTAACATAAAAGCTGTGACATTTTTTGACATTTCAGACAGGAAACTACAAAATACAGAATTCCCTCACAATATATACATACAAAACTACAGTACTGCCACCTCCACTTGTATCACCTTACGACGATGGTTGTTCCCCCCCTCTCTGGAGGCCATGCTCAACTCTGATCAACAAGCAATCAATTTCCTCTTTTGGGAGGTACTACATATTCCTAAGAGCTTTAAATGTTTAATTGTATAAATTAATTATGTAACAAACCAAAGACATGCTCTTTCTTATGTGTGAATATGAAATAAAGTTTCTGAGCTTTCCTACTGCCTTGGCTCAGTCAGATTTAAAACTTTGTTAGAAATCTGATTCATTGATGTATTTAATTTTATGTGAAAATAGTTTTGATAGTCAGCTTGTCAGATTCTGTATACCTACAGGCTGTTGACTGTGTAAATAAAGGACAAATCAAAACAGAGGATAAACTCTATGAACTTAAAGCACTACAGGAATCCAACAAAAGCATTGAGGTGAGACAGCTGTGTAAAGGTAAAATACTACAAGCTATCTGTATTCTGAGGAATGTTCTTCTTATTGATATATCTCTGACATATATAAATCTTTAGATGAAATTGTTTTTAAAACATTGTTTTCTAAGATTTCATGGTAATACATATACTGGTACAATACCTGTACTGCAACATTAAATGGTTTACTTATGTTATTCTGTTGCAATTGTGAATCATGATTCATTGTCCAAAATGAAGTTTGTGAAGATGTACAGCAATCATCATTTGTCTGTCCAGTCTGAAGTTAAGAAAATCTACTTTGCGTACAAATTAACCCCCCCCCCCCCCCCCATTAACCCCCCCCCAAAAAAAAAAGAAAAATTAATTGATTCTGTAGAACCTAGGTCATATAAACAAGAACAAATATCCAGGAATCTTATTTCCAATGGCTTTCAACTTGTTCTAAATAATGAGAATTTTCTATGCATGGATATTGAAATTCTTGGTTTTTCAGTACCTGAAGGTGGCTCGACAATTAGAGGGTTATGGGGAAGTAATGTTCCCCCACTGTGCTTGTGACTCACGGAAAGATGGTCATGTGATTGCTGTGATAGGATTTGAGTGCTTCAAACTCCATGCCTGTAAAAATGATGGCACTCCAGAGGTATAATTATTTAAGGCATAAACTATCAATCCATTTCATCATGTTGCTAAGTAAAGGTACAGTAACTTGGTGTAATGTCATTAATATTTCATAATCATAGTTTACAGTTGAACTTCAGTATCTCGAACACCGATATATCGAATACTATGGATATTCGAAGTGAATTGGGAAGTCCCAACCACTTGTTCTTTAAAGTTTAAGTATATTACCCTAGATATTTCATAGCCTCAGATATATCGAGGTTTTTGACCTCAGAAATGCTAATTGTGATATCATTAACCTATGCATTTTTAGCGTATTTTCCTAAAATGTCATCAATTTTCCGTATTATAATTTTTCTATCAGATAATATAGAGCACATGCATGGCTTACAAGGACATTGAGAAATATGATTCTTTAAAGGATTTTTCACAACATTTCTGAAAATTAAAGTGGGCGACAGCTGTGGACACTATTTTCTTAAGGAAAATTCCCCCAGAAATGAGTCATTTTCTTAAGGAAAATAACCCCAGAAATAAATCACTTTGAGGCTTTTTTTGTTTAAAACTTAGAAATGTACTGAATTAAATAGTGTATTTTCAGAATGGTCCCCCTTCATGCCATATTCTTTCATGATTTATCACATTTATATACTTAACTCATATTTAAGCCTATTTCATAACTTTTTGAAAACATGAAATTTTTAGGGCATAATAGAGCCCAAACTGTACCTACTTCTTTAAATTTTCAGTCTCAAGTGATAGAATTTCAGTGGAAGGATGTGAAGTCTTATGATATTGAAGAGGAAGGAATGGCTTTCTCTTTTGAGTATGCTCGTCCTGGAAAGAAACCTCGTAATGTGCAAATATTGACACCTTACGTAAGTAGTAGAGTGTATATATTGTAACAGTTCTTCATTTTTGCAATGCTTCATTTTAAATACAACTTAAATATATATTAACTTTAAAATATTATGGATGAATTTCGAAGACTGGTGCATTTTTAGATAGAGAGTACTAATGAATTTTAAACATCATGAATATTTTCTTTGAACAGTCACAAAAAAATTAATAAATTTGTGTTTTTGCAGTATGAGTACATGAAGGAATGTTTTGATCGGATATTTGAGGAAAGAGAGCAGGAATATGCGGTAATTTAAAATTTGAAAATTAAGTATACATTAAAACAATTAAAGAAATAATTATAATGTGCCTGGAAATCAAATGAAATCGAAATGCAAAGGGCATCATTTTGGTCTGTCATTCAATTATTCCTAAATTCTAACCACCGCCATGAATTTTGTGCATAATAAGATACTTTGTCTTTTGGGTCCTGTCTTGAGGTGAAAATTTTCAATGTTACCTTCAACATACGTGCAATATTTGGTATATTATAACAAATACATATATTATGGTAGAGTGTAGATGCATAGACTGCACAGTCAATTTTTTTTTTTGGAATATCACCAGTCATCAAGTAATGTTGACTGTTACTATGTTATATCACACTGTTGGGCATGGGTGTTCAAAGGGTATAAGTATTTTATATCAAATGTTTTTTGATGAATTAGATTCAACTAATTTACATGAAACTAATGAATGTTACAATAATATGGTGATAAATATTCTAGTATATACATGTATAAGTAAGAAGGAGGTAAAGCTACCCTATACTTGTTCATACAATGTGGGACATATACTACATGTTATTACATCTATTATACAAATCCTATGTTACCTTCTTTCTGCCCTTCAATATAAAAACAAGAGTGTACAACTGGAAGCTTAAGATTTCAATGGACTGACAACATGCATAAATGAATCTAAAATCGCAGGTCAAGACTGGTTTTAAAGGCATTGTAAATAAGTAAGAATTGATTAATACAGTAAGTATATTAATAACTTCAGTTTCAGTGGTTACTAAATTCAGATGTTTTTCTCTTTCAGTGATGATTTTCAAAATAAACAAGAAACTCCCTGAGGCCAAAAGTAAGTTCACATGCTTGTTTTGTTCCTGAATGTTTGGTTATGAAAAGCTCCCAGATGAATTTTCCTCATTTACAACACAGCCCACATTGTTTCCCTTGTTCAAATACAAGGTCATTGAATACTGTACATGATTAATAAAGAAGGTTTCTGTATTTTCATTATGTAGTATAGTTGACTTCTTTTACTTTTGTGAGGAAATTGTCTTGCTGAACAAATTTACAGCTAATTCTCATTACTGAATTATCTTTTTTGCTTTTCATAAACAGATCAGCTGAAATAACTGTGTTCTTGGATATTGCAAAATCACTTTGTTGCTATAGAAACAGCAGGAAGTCCTGGTGTGCTATCATCCATGTTATAGAACTGTTACGATTTTGGATGATTGTTCTTGCAATATGCATGTTGCGGGTCAACTTCCATGTGATGTACATCTTGGTGTTAATGAAATTCAAAATCTTGTTAATAATTTTTAGGCTTCTTGTTGATCTATATTGTTATTTATTTCAATTTTATAACTGTTTAGTTTTGTATTTAGCTTGTAACAGTTCCATTGAAAGATATTTTGTGATTGTGAAAACAAGTTAGAATAATTGGTGTTTTGTGTTTGCTCAGATTTGATGGGTAGTGCTAACATCTTGCTGTAGATTTAGATGTGTAAATCCACAAGAATATCTAGTCAATTATGGGTTGATTTCTGCCACTGTAAACCCTGATATACATTTGTAAATAAATCTAAAGTTAATATGTAAATATGTAATATTGTTAAGAAAATAAATAAAATTCTAATTATGAAATATATTTTGGGGGTACACATATAAATAAACATGTTACATTTTGTTGTTCCCATAAGGGTATTATCTGCTGAAATCCTACTGCCCCCATACAAAAATCTGGCCATGCAGGCCACTGGTAGAATTTTCTGATCAAAGATTGAAGCTGTCATCAAACATTATAAATGTGTGGAGTATGCACAAAAAACATTTTAATCTAAACTTTATTTAATTCAATTCTCAAAACTAGAGTAAGGAGGCAGTTGAAGTTTTTGTAAAAAGAACACAAGAGACTAGGAATAATCTATGAGGACCTCGAATTGTGTTGATTGATCTGACTGATGCAGGTGAGATCTGTGTTCTATATAGACCTCTTGTCTTAATATGAACTGTGTCATACTCTAAAACAAAGCCAAATGCAAATTTATTTACATGTAGTTAGACTAATGTAAACAGAGTCTCTTAACTTCCGTTGTTTTAATTGATGGTAATTTTTTTGTTTTGGTCCATGTACACAAATCAAAATATGTTAAAAGCAGTGTACAGTAATCAAAATTTAAAAGCAGTCATAAGAAGTGTATATCTTCTATATATACTTTATACAGAAAGAATGACATATTTGGAATTTATTGATTGAATTTCATCTATGTAGTAATGAGCATCATTAATATGCATAGTACATGTATACATACAGACATTCAAAAATAAGCTGTTTTAAAGCCATTGTCATTAAAATCTGTGTGTGTCTTGATGGTTATGAAAAAGAATTGTTGAGAAATGAGAATTCATTATCTGTATTAAATTATCCTCATAAATCTATTTTATTCTAGATTGATAAAATATGTATATTGTTGGTATTTGTTATGTAAGGTACCATTCTGTGTCCCCAGATAATGCATGAACAAATTTATAAGCATAGAATGCATTGCTTATTCTGACTTCTGACTAGTACAAATACATGAAAATATTGATTCATCTAAAATATAAATTTTTGTCGAATTTGAAGTATTTCAACAAATATGAAGTTTTCTAAAATTAAAGATGTTCAATGTAAATTAACTGGTGATACCTTGTTTTCACAGGGTTCTGTTCATGAATTTAAAATACAGTTTTCTCTGTATTTCCTCATTCTTTTATTGTTGGCTTTATGTGACATTGGTATAAATATTGTAAAAAAAAAAAATTGAAGAAAATGTTTATCGAATGTGTTTCAACTAGTGTTTAGAAAATGAGTTAATTATACTATTACAAATATTTAGAATGGAGAATGTTCATTTCATATTTATACTATTTTGCATTAAGAAAAAATGGAGACAAAGATTGTGAATTATATTTCGTTGTTTAATGTAATGTTTCATGCATATAAATTTTATTTGTGTATTCATGTGTAATTTTTCCTTGTAAGCAATTTTGAGCATTATCTATTTAGTTGATAATGGCGCACACATTATATATCTGTACAGTAATTTCAAACATGTACATCAAATTTACACGTGTAGACTGAACTAGGTTGAATTTTGTGAGGAAAAACAAGGGTCCAAGGATTGAAATATATATACTTGTTATATTCTGTTTGATTTGTAAAATAAGAAGTAGATTAATAAAAGTGCCAGATGATAATGGCACTTAATTTAGAACCTGCAGGTTTAATTAGAGATTCCCAGTCAAAGTAATAGTTTCATTTGTATGATCATTGTCAAACATATATGAACATTTAGTTGAATGTATGACACTGGGAGGTTAAAAAATTGTATATAATGTACTAACTGGTCTTTTTTGAGGTCATGTTTGGTGAAGCTGAAAGCTGTAATTTTTGAAAATGAGAAGTTTCTATGAAATATGTTAGCCTTCATGCAAGCATACTTCCCTTGGCCATAATAATGATTTGCAATATTGAACAAAGGAAAATTTTTTTCCTGTATACAATTTTGTCTCGTGATTTTCATGCAAAGTCGTGTGTACCAAAATTTGTTGTGAAGCATTTAACTTTCACACCTTCATTTAGTGAACAATGGACACTTTTTTATCACATGTAGTATTTGGTGAGTTTTACCACTCAGAAATCTAAATTCTGGAACGTTTATTGTTTATGTTAAATATTATGATATATATCAATGACTGTTTTCAGTGAAATAAAAGTTATGATTATATACCTGTTTCTGGTTGTGATTTTAAATACATGTACATTTATATTACATGTATGTGTTGTAAAAGTTATAAATCTGTTTCAGGATATATAAATTGCAGAATTTCATATGTAGCAATTAAGTAAAAAAAAAAAAGGCCTCGGAAAGGGCTGCGCCATGCACCTGAGCATACTGCTAAAAAATGGCGCAGTGCAATACTGGTGCACTGCACTGCACCATGCAGTGCGCCCCGAAAAATGCAAACACGCTTGATTTTTTAGTTTGTAAGTTCATCACAGTCAGCGCTATCAGTATTCTTCATGGAAGTTAAATGGAATCTGTGTTGTATCATATAATAAAATTGGAACCAACATTTAGCATCCACTGGCAAAGAATCAAACTTTGCCTCCCATGTGGTTTATAAATTGTGTAAAGTCATTTTGAACGGCTGACCACAGCTTGACGAAAGTCACCCACATGGAAAATATTACCTTACATCTAATGAAGTCTACTATCTTGGCCTGTCACTTGATCTCGAAATCTTTTTTGAGAAATAAAAATTGGTGCTTTTGGTTTAAATCTGATTTTTCAAAATACTTCCTGTGTTAGATGACAAGTGATTTATGAAGTTCTTAGAAACAAAAAATCATTTCCACTAGTCAATGTCGTATATGATTTGTCAATTCCTATTGCATTTTTTTTATTTTCCTAAATTTTGTCACCAATATATGTGTGATCATAGCATCATACTATGGTATATTTTAGAATGGCCCCAATATATTTCCTCTTGACCCCTTAAATTTCAAAATGGCCCCATCATTTTATGAATAGTTGGGACATTGGCCCCACCTGATGTTTGACTTTCCCAGGCACTGGTAAAACCTATTCTGGGATTGTCACATAGTGGACAAGTAGTGGCATTTTAAACAGGGAGTATGTCAGATACTTATGTTTTGTAAATTGCACTTGTCCTATTTTAAACTATAAAAACAATACTTCACACTTATTAATTAAATTTTCAACAGAGGATATCCTATGAACATCAAGTTCAATCAGTAGAACTCATCTTAGTAATATATGCATGCAATATTTATATCCCAAAAAGCATTATACGAGGGGTGATCAAAAAGTTCGCAAACTATCTCTATATTTACAAAACCACAATCCAGATATGGCTGCTGGTTGTAAACTAGATGTGAAGAAGTGTGATTAAAATGATAGTGTAGGGTAGTTGAATAGTAAAAAATGTCAGGAATTAATTAATGGACACTACGGAGTTGATATCTGGTGTTTGCTGTTGGTTGGATAGTGAATTAGAGAAAATCAAGAAAACTTGTTGCCATCCTGTCGAAGCTCACTGGTAGGATTTATACCTGTTTATCATTTATTTTCAATTTATTGATAAAATTGCCGACTCCTGTGGACAGATGGACTGTTCTTGTTGTAAAAAATACCTTGCATGGTAAGAAATATAAGACTCGGAAAAATGTTTTAGGTTCTGTGAACAGAACACCACGGAGCATGTCACGTGACCGCCCTGATCACGTGATTTGCGCATGGGCAGAACAATGGCAGATGTGCATTATAATCAGATAGGACTACTTGAAAAAATAATGAGCACTGAAACCTCATTTTATTTCTTTTAAGGAAGTAATTCAATTAGTTCGCAAACTTTTTGATCACCCCTTGTATGTCACTTTATCGCTTATCCTGCTTTTTAAAGGCACATCATGTACATATTATTAGTCTTTCAACAGTTAGACATTTGTCCTGGGGCTCTATCATTCATGGACAGATGAGGATTGAAAACTGTAGAAATGAGGGTTCAGTAATTCTCTGCATGGTCAGTAGTCAATATTAATACAGAGTACCCGGTACACACAGTCCAGCCTCTTTAATCTGTGATCATGATCCCAAGAAAATAGTCTGGATTAATGAAGCATTACTGAAATGAATCATTTATAATTGGAAGATATATATGTAAATTCTGATCAGGGACCCTCAGAATTTGTCTGGAAGACGAAGTGTCCTGATTTTTTGGCCTGCAGACTAACAAGGCTTCACTGTATATGATAATAGTTCTTCCTCTTTCTGATGGAGTGGGAAAAAGTACAGATGATATAATGAAAAAAGTCTTGTTTGAATATATATATTTATTTTTTATTGTAGAAAATATTGCTTTGTTCAAACATATTGCAATTAAATATATACTTAGGGATTAGATATGTATTACACAGAGTTGATGAGTATACAATATATGCAGTGTACACTTTATTGCAAACAAAATCTGGCTCTCAAAAAAAGGTACAGATATCCCTGTGCCAGAAATTTAATTGGCCATTCCTAAATCTTGAAGAATTCATTTTTCAAAATTGCAAAAATCTGAAAGAACATACCTCTTCATAATTTAAAAATTCACAGAAATAAGATTAATTCTGAAGACAGTTCGGAGAAGATTGTCCATTTGAACACATAACAGTATAAGTTCTGTTATAACATGTACAATTATAATATATATAACACCGATTACACTTTGAACAAGCATGTTGGATAAAATAATGTACACAGTCAAACAATAGCAGTATATGTGGTACATATATATGGGAAAAAATGAGTTGGTAAAACCTGAGACATTATACATGAACAGCAAATAAACTTAACAATGTGTGGCACTGTGTTAATCACCAACAACAACACAAAAATCACAGTGCCAAAAAAGCAAGGAAACAAATTTAGTGTTGTATTTACATTGTCAATTTTTCAGTCTTGCACAAATACTTGAATTCCTAATGAACCCAAATTGATGTAAAGGTTCGATATATATTGTGCTTAGTGGTTATAATTTTAAAAAAATCTAACCCTTAATAATAGAAAACTTTGAGACACAATTCTCTATCACATTTACCTTGCAGAGACAAAGCCTATACGTATTTGATTAGCAATGAGACCCTTCTGATATATATTTATATATTTGTGAATCCATAAAACCATGATCAAATATTAAAACATAAACATTTTATGTACATCACTATAGTTTTGTGCACTTTATTTTCGCAAGGTTGACTCTTTATTAGTGAGACAAAATTTTGGTTATTACCTAGTATAATCTTTAAAAATACAATATATATATATATATATATATATATATATATATATATATATATATATATATATATATATATATATATATATATATATATATATATATAAAAGAATGACGTTTTCACAAGCAGACATAATTATGTGAAAATAAAATTCAGTAAAAAATAGGAAGTGATTTACAGTACTTATTTAAAAGATACAAGTGTAACAAAGGAGATTATGTCCCTTCATTTGTAAGTGAAATGTGGTACAGTTGGCATGTATCCTTTGATAAAGTAGTCCTGTATTGTACAATGCATGAAATCAATATACATTTGTGCAGATACTTTTATTCAACTCACTTAATTCCTACTACATAAAAACCATTTGCCCATCCATAGACTGAATTTAATACCTTTTTGTACATTGGGAAAAGCAACACAACCTCCAAATTAAAACCCAAATGCTTTCTGGGGACAAATCCTCACAAAAACACATTGTACAGAGTTCAAAGTACAGTTGAACTTCATTATCTTGTACTCAATGGGACCAAAGGAAAACTTGGAGATATCCGAGGATTCAAGATGTCGAGGGTAAAATACTTAGAGAATTAGTGATTGGGATTTTCAAATCAGTTTGACATATCCATGGTATTTGAGATATCAGTGTTCAAGATACCAAAGTTCAACTGTACTTTATATACACACATTGGAAGAATTTATGCCAGGTAGATTGCTGATGAGTTTTATTCCATATATCTTTATTCTATTTATCACATTCAAGTGGAAATCACCTTTTGCTGAACAAAAATGGAAAATTGATGTAGCCTGTTTTAAAGTGTCTTTGTGGTACTTTGATGTGGTACTTTGATGGTGCTACTAGTGTCTTTCAGATCTTTTAGTGTTAGTGTCTTTCAGTACTTTGATGGTGTTACTATTGACTTTGCATTACTTTGACTGTGTTACTAGTACTTTCAGTACTTTGATAGTGTTATAGTGTCTTTATTCTACTGATTGCTGGACCTTGCGACGTATCAGTAGATGTACTGGTCCATCATCCAGGAACTTAAGGTGTGTCCAGGCCTCAGAGTGCCGCATGTTTGTGATGTCCAATCCATTGACCTTCAGAATCTCGTCTTTGACCTTCAGCATACCACATTTCTCTGCTGGGCCACCTTGACAAGAACACAGTATTCTCATTTACATGTCATCTATAGAGATATATAATATAGTAAAACTTGCCCAATCTGGAGGTTTTGTATTCCAAAATATTGTCTATTGCAATTAATATGGTAATTTCAATTGTTTAAAAGGAAAGTTGTCTAATCCAGCAAATTTCTACTGAACCAGCAGTGTCCTGATTAGAAAAGTTTGACTGTTCATTATTTCTTGCTCTAACAAAATGTAAGAAAAATAATTAAAATTTCAAAATTTAAAAGGGAAAGTTAACAATCTGTTGTAAATGAATTTTAAAATTTATCATGATTTTCTTGATCAAAAATTTGTAATGTACTCCATGCAAGGGAATTTATTCAAAAAAATATATGCACTTATAACTTCAATAGGATAGAACTATACATCTTTTTCTCAATACATTATTACAATATTAGTTTTTGTGTTGGAATGACATGCTGCGCTAGAAAGACAGGAAAATGAACATTGTTTTCAGACTAAGAGGTTCCCTTTTACAGTACCTTTGAACATCCTCCTAATGGTCAGAGGCTGGTCTCCCTTAGCTGAAGCTTTCCCTCCTTCAATCAGGAACCCAAGCCCTGTTACTCCTTTGTTCATTACCACTTCAAATGTATCCTTCTCTACATTTTCATCATCCGAATCATCAGATGGTGTTGGCAACAGTTGCTCTATCCTTACAAGTGGGGAGGTAGGAGAGGACACTTTCAAAGAAGAAAATACAGAATTTAAGAAATATTCCTGGTGACTCTTATAATCTTGGTGACTCTTATAGTAAAATTACATTTGTTTAGGTTTTGTTTGTTTGTTTCAAATTGGTTTTTTTTTACCATCACTTCCATGATACATGAAAACAAACATAAAGGACACACCTTGATTCAATTCACCATTAGATAAGAGCTGCTCAGTTTCATAAGGTTTCTCAGTAGAAGCAGTATCTACCACTGTGGATTGTGAATCCAGTGGACTTGGCATTTCCACACCAGAGTCTTGAGATCCTTGAGGGCTGGATACCTCTGGAATGGTCACAGTAATGGAGTCTGTTCTTTCACATTCTCCTGGACCAATTACTTCCAAATCACTGTTTTGCTTGTTGTCCTCATGTGTATCCACATTTTCTGAAGGAATCTCAACTTTTAAGTCATGTATCTTCTCTTGAGTGATTTTATTTTCACTTTCACTTCCACTTAACTCCTCCACTGATGAACCTGTTTTTACATCCTTAATCTCATCCTCTTTTGGAATATCGGGTGGTTGTGAGACAGGAAGTGCTGGGGGTGGGGCTTCAGGAGTGGGTGGAGCCTCAGAATTATCACTCTCCTCCCCAGCTCTTGTTAGTACAATGACATGACTGGAGAGAGTATTGTTGATCCCATTCATCACAGCTTCTGGTGAGAGAGAAGCAGTGGACATGCCATCAAGGGAGATAACTTTGTCTCCTTTTTGAATATGACCCTCTCTGTCTGCCAAACCACCTTCCATCACTTCTGAAATCTAATCAAAGAGACAGAACTGTAAAATATGGCAATACAAATTGTTTTTAATATAAAAACAGGAATTAAATGTTGTAAATGTAGCTTGCTCCAAAATGAGTTAAGGAAGATTATGATGATAGACTGAGTTTATTTTTTTTCTTTTTATATCAATGAATAAATTTTAATTAAAGTTCTCATGGATCCAGAATTTTTCCAATAGGAATGCCAGTACACAGTTCAACAGCTGAAACCATAACTACATTTAATTTGAAGACTTACCGATCATAAAATAATAATAGCCACTTATTACCTTTATATGAAAACTAATCTGTAAAATTTCCAAAATTGTTACAACTGGTTACACATGTACTTTTGTGGCTCGTACAACCCTCACAGTGGAGATTCAAATGCTAATTCTACAACAGATTCCTTATAGCGTGACATAAGTCACCACTAACTGTTCAAATATATTGAGCAATAAAAGAAACATTGAGTGTTGGATCAACACCTGATGAAAGTGATTAATATCTGTGACCACAGCCCCAGGGCCCTCTGATTTTGTGACAGTTTCTTCTGTGGAATGCTTTTACATAATGTTACATGGAAAAGAAGATTTCATGGATTGACAGGTTACTTATTCACTGTTCAGGCATAAAACATCAATGTTAAAACTCAAAACATAAAAATTCAAGGAATGTAAGAATAGTCAAGCTTGAAATATCCCAGGAAAATCTACCTATTTATTTGCAATGCTCTGATTACTACAATAGTAAAAAAAGATGACTTTCATATTTAAATAATGTCCTGCTCAGTGGGACATATTCAGCTCTTTCTAACTTTAATTATTAGAAAATCCATTATTGCTTTCTGATCATTGATATTTATATGGAAGACATACATGTATTTTAGGGGCAATCAATCAGACACTGTGATAATCTGTGTATAGTAAATTGTGTGGGAGACGCACAGTCTGACCACTAAATAACGAAGGTCTGGGGTTGAAAGTCCATGAGATGACCAATCAATGTGCTCCTCTCTCTGTACAGACAGGTTTTGTTGTATTTGACGTATTATTGGTATAGCTATAAATATGTCATTTGTATCATTACTACTCTATGTTTGGTCAAAACTCTTTATGATAACATTATGTTGACATTCAATGTAGATTTTACTGTGTGCAGTCATGTCACTTGATATATGACCACCCCCTTCCCATATTTCTGCATATCATTGAAGAGTACTCAGATCAGAAATACTCTTTCTTTGAATATTTTAATTTCCTCTCTATTTCAATGTTTCAAAATTTCACTGAGATATAAGAAATACCTCAAACAACCACTAAATATTTAAGGAATAACTGTCTAATTTTTTGGTTTCATAATGTGATCAAGCAATTGGCTTGTGTGGTAATTTGCATAAACGCTGAAGGCTACAAGCCCCACCTACTTCTGTCTCTCTTTGTCCCGCCCTACATGTGATTTTTTTAACCATGCCTATGGATGAACCAGTAGCCTTATGTAGAAATCAAGTATTTTACTATTTGTAGTCTTATCTTGGATAAAGAAATTTAAATATTATAAAATACAATTTGTATTTTTAAACACAAAGGAGTAACGAACATTGACTTTTTTATCAAATGAGTAACAAACATTGACATTTTTAATCATTTGAGAAAAAAGGAAAGAAAGAGAGAAGGAATGTGTGCCTATAATGTATAATTATAATACCTGCATGACAAAGTCCCTAAATTATTATGATCTTAATTAACTCTGGGCTTTGCTGGTTGCAGACAATCTAACTAAAAATAAAATGCCCCCCCCCCCCTTCCCCCAGGTTTTCCATTGGAAAAATCTGGTTATTGAAATGGTGAAAATAGCAGGCAGATTGCTGCCAATAGGGTACATCATTTGTCCAGATAAGTCCTCCTATGGTTTTGAAGATAGGAAGTTTTTATTTAGCAGATCAATTGCTCATAGTGTAACTTGTTTAGTCCAAATGTTGTTTATTCTGAAATGTTGCCAATAGGATGTAAACTTCAAGTCCCTTTCAGTAACTTAAATTGTTTAAAATGTCTTATCTGGCCAATTTCTTTGGAACTAGTGGTGGCTGGATTAGACAAGTTTTACTGTATATCAGATTGGATTTTGATTTTTGATAATTAATGAGAAAAATACCAGTTGTTGAAGTCATTTTTATGCAAAATATTGTTTATAGGGTACATCACTTGTCTAGATAACTCCTTCTACAGTTTGTCTTTAATTTGCAGATCAATTGTGCAAAGATGTCAGAGATGTGCATGGTATTTGGAATTTCATTTTTGTGGAAAATACCAGTTATTGAACTTAGCCATATTTATGCAAAATATATTCACAGGGTACAATTCAATTGCTTGGATTCAGATCAGAAAGTTTTGATGATTTATGCGAGAAGTACACATATACTGTTCACACGAAAGAAAACAAAATTAAGGTTTGCTGTCACATTGACAGCTTCCTCTTTGTTTTTATCTACAGAGTATTGAGTACATATATGTACCAGTATTAGTTAACCTACCATTAAAAAGCCACCTTGGTCAGTAGTTAGCTGCACTCCTGGACCCTCTCCTTGGAAGTTAGAATCAAGAAAGACAAGCACAAGCATGGCATCCAATCCCACTCCGTAAGAGTCCAAATCACTGTTAGTCTTGTTCAACAATGTTTCCAGTTCTTCTGGTGACACCTGATCCAAAGATCCACCAATATCCTCCACATTAGAAAAATTGGGACCAAGTTGCTGTTTTCCAAAACATACAAACCATGATCTTTGACTTTTTATAGTAGAATAATTTCCAGAATTTAATTCAGTCTGTGAAATGTCTCCTCCTAATAAATCTATAGGAGAAGAATCAACACTTTCTTCATTTAAAACAATTTCAATATTTTCCAAGTCTCCCTGAGAATCTTCACCATTAACATCACTATTTACATTATCATCTGCCTTGTCTCTGCCATGTTGTGGGTACGGATCTTCACTTAGTTGTTCTGTACACAATTTTGGTTCCTGAATTAAGAGAGTATTAACAATATTATCCCCTACTGAAGCTACACTAGGCACATTAACCACATCCACAGACATGCTAACTGGATTGGGTGAATCCAAAACAACATCATTACATGCAACAGAAGCATCATGGGAAACAGACATGCATTGGTCAACCTGAACACCACTGTTTTCATGTGTTAGTAAATCATTGGATGTACTTGCAGATGTTTTAGTAGCAGAGTTTGTATGCCTAGCATTGTTATCACTGTCTTCTTGTAATGTCTTACATGTAAGCATCTCTGCAGCAATGTTTTCTGCTACAGGGTTTTGATTCATTGAGTATGTAACAGGTGATGGCATCTCCTTCTCAGAAGAGTCAAATTTTTGCAAGAAAGCACGCAAGCCTTTTGTTTCCATAACCTCTACAGGATGTGTGTCATGCACTCTTGACAGTTTGTTGTCTACTTTCTTACCTGCTTCATCATCTTCTGCTGGTTTGTCTTCTGCTTCTGAAGCTTTAAATTCATCAATTCCTTTTTGAATAGCATTTCTAACTATTTCTTCAACAAAGTCATATAATTCATTATCAGAGTCATCTACAATCAAAGATTCTGATGTATCTTTGTCTTTTTTATCTTCAACATCAGAATCATTATTAACTACTTCTACATTAGATATGTTGACATCTACATTCATAAGATCAATGTCTGGTGAAATCACATTGTTATCTTGTAGATTATTTTTTGTGAGTGCAGCAGCAGTGTCTTTTTGTGATTCTGTGCTGTTTACAACATCAATATCAATGCTCTGTGCTTCAGGTGCACTATGAACATTTTCTTCAAAGGAATAAGTTATGTTTAGTTGATCAGTGCTCAGCACACAAGGCTGCTCTATGACTTGATCTGTGTTTTCAACACTAGGAATTATGCTCTCAACAGATGGCATGGTGTTTGCTGGTGAGGAATCTAGTTCAGTGCTTTCTGGAATTTTGTCTGAGATGGATCCCCTGGGTTTGGGGACAGGTTTGGTAGGAACTTCTGGAGGTGATCCAACTACAATCTCAGCTTCCAGGGATGATTTGATATTGGGTGAGTGCTGTGTGGTGGGGGTGACAGGGCTTTTGGGTGAGGTTAATGGTGAGCCAGTAGTGTGCTGATCCTCCATCTTACCTTTTGTTCTGTTACCAGAGAAAGATGCTCCAAATGAAAATTTATCTTCACTCTTCCTACGAGGACTCAAAGCAGAGTTCATCTTCACAGGTGAGATTTTTGTGGAAACTTCTTCATATGCGTAGGGTGAGTACGGGAAATCCTTTTTCTGTGGTGAGGTGGTGGTTAGTGAAGAGACCTTGGGTTTAGCAGAGGATACATAATCCACATGTCCTTTGGGAATCATCTTTGGTTCTGAACTATTTTTATCTTTTGACTGCCCCATGGACTGGCGTGACATAGCATTCATTTTGTTAAAATCCACAGATGCAAATACTACAGTGTCAATAGGCTCTTTCTCTTCCTTTTCATGGACTGTTTTTCTGGCAGATGACACATAATCTGCCTTCTTTGGTTGAATGTGAGGTTTGCTGTCAACTGCATGTGATTCTTTCTTTCCAAAGGAGGATGTTCTTCCAAGAGCTGAGCTGACATATCCACCACCCCCCCAGTGGGAACCAGTTTTGCTGACATGATCAGGTGACGAAGTCTGTTTAGGTTTAGGAGCCACTGGTGGTGGTGTCTTTTTTGCTCCGGGTGCATACTGGTCATGTTTAACAGTCACCCTTCCTGTGGACTCATCTGCTTGTGTTTTATTTGTTTCTGGTGACAACTGGTTGTGGTTAACAGTCACTTTTACAGAGGACTCTTCTACTGGTGTTTTAGAACTTGGTATGCTTGGTTGTTGTGGTGACAAAGGAGATGATGTACGTTGTCTTGGAGACAACGAAGGTGATAATGAGGCTGACTTTGACATTGTTCTTGGAGATGATAAAGGTGACTGTCTGGAATCATTGTTGCCGAGGCTGAGGTCTGTTGGTCTGGCAACGCCTTCTGTAAAAATTGAAAAAAAAATTGTTGACTACTGATTTGTGTATAAATAAGTCAGGAAGATTTCTTTGTATTATGATGACAAGTAGTGATATTTTATCAGATAAGATGATGTGTACCTGATGATGGAGGTTTGACCGAAACTAGAATTTTTGCAATGCCTCTGGGTAGGAGTCTGAGTATCTGTTGTACCTTACTGTCAGGGAGTCCAGTTAATTCTGTGTTGTTGATAGAAAGCAGGAAATCGCCAACCCTTCGAGAAGAAGCAATCAATATTAAAGACCACTTGTATAAATTGCTAAGAAAATAAATTTTATCATTTGTTCAAAACTGAATTTACCTTGCTTAGACTTTTTTTTTTAAACAATTACTGCTAATTTTCTTTTTTAACACATATTGTTTTTCTCTCCCCCCCCCCCCCCCCCCATTTTCACCTCCCCTAAAAGAGAGTTACCAAGGTTGCTCATTCAGCAATATTCCAGATAAAATTACTTTATTGATCCAAAGTAGTTCCATAAACACTACTACAGGAGGTTCATTCCTCATTTGTAATTAATTATGAGATATGATAATTATCAGATATGCATAGCATTTGGCATTATCAAAAGGCATTGGGAAATTGTTTAATAACATAAAAACAGATATCAAATCGATTACGATTGTTATAGTAAAATTAACAATGGTGACTAAAATATCTTGAGCCCTATACTAAATGTCAACAGCTGTCAAATATCAATACTGTGTTTGTGTGATGGAGAAAAACCTATAATCTGTATGATATAATGTATAAAAAAGATCGAAGAATTGAGCTTAAACTGAATACATGTAAAATATATTCAATTAATGTTATGTAATATTTCTGTCATTTCCTATTCAGGATATATATATATAATTGACTTAATGTTATACTGTGTTTTAACTTACAAAAATGAAGTGTTTACCTGATGTTGCCATCCTTTGCGATAGGTCCACTTGGTTGAATCTCATCCACTTTGACAAACCCCTCTGGTGTAATACTCACTTTCAGCCCTAACCCTAGAATCCCTTTGAGTACTCTCACTAAAAATGGCTCCTCCTCAGAGCGAGTATTCTTTGTGGATGTTGTTGTTCCATGAATTGTTGAGAGCAGGGATGGCCTCCCAGAAGACAGAGAACTAGAAAGACTGGAAGGCTTTCCTAGAGAAAATGTCTTTGCACTTACAGTTATAGGCTTAATGGAAGAGAGAGGCCTTAATGTTGCTGAAGAGCTGTTTTGTGACCTTATTGTACTGAGAAGACTTGATGGTTTCGTTATTCCTATGGATGACTTGAAGGGCAATACTGGTGAAGCTTCTGTGGTTTTGGAAGAGGTTGAAGAGGAAACATTGTCCTCTCTTGCTTTAGATGACACTGAAATGGGGGCTGTTTCTTGAACTGATTTTGCTTCTGATGTGACAGTAATGCTTTCTTTTTCATCAGGCTTGGTATCCAATCTTGAAACATTTTGTTGAGTTGAAGTCTCTGCATCCACTGGTTCTGATGATTTACTTACACTGTACTTGTCTGTTGAAGGAGCAACAGAATCTACTTTTTCAGTTTTCTTTTCCACATTAGCAACATCCACTGACACAGGGGATGTTACTTCAATGACATTTCTGTAAACTTCTTGTTCTCTTGGCACATTCTGAGAATTTTCAGTTTCTTCCCTGGCTGTTTCCATCTTGTTTCCCTGTGCTAAATAATCATCTTCAGTATTATCCTTTTTTTTCTTAGAATTTATCACATTTATAACACTTTTTAAATTCTTACTCTCATGGTCATCCACACTCTCTTTACTCTTACTGGCAGATTTTGACCACATGTTTGTGATAACAGCAATTTTAGCTGCATTCCAGCTCTGGTCTTTCTTCACCACCACTGGAACTATTTCCTCTTCCACTTCTACATGTAGTTTTTCATTAAATTTCTCATTTGCACTTTGCCTCTCTTTGAATTCTGCTCTCACTATCTCCTCCATCACACCTTCATCTTCATCCATGCTGGATTTGGGGGGAGCTGACTCATGTTTTACACTGATGATGGTTGGTTTGACTCTAGGCTGAGGAACTGGTTTTGTTGGTAACTCCTCTTTCTTTACTTCATCTAACTTTATGGTGGCTGAAACTGGTGTCCTTTTACGTTGTTCGACTGAAGGAATGATTTGCTCTTCCTCTATTTCAGTTGGACCAGCGGATGGCACAATTACAGTGGATGCGAAGGGAATATTTTTATTCCTCTGCACAGTGACAGGGACAACAAATTCATCATCGCTATTGGAATGTTCAACATCTAAATCAATGTCCTCAGTATTGACAGGGGCAGGGGGAATAAATGGCTCTGACTCAACATCATCACCTTCATCAATAGTCTGATCCTCCTTATCAAAGTTGTTCATGTCATTATCTCCCTGAAAACTGTCCATCATATCTAATTCCCTCTCTCCTGGAAGGTTTTCATTAAAATAGGTGAGAGAATTGTCCAAAGACCCATTCTCATCCCCATGTAATCCTGTCAAGGATTCTAACTGTCTGATTTGAACTTCTGTGTCATCCATTTCTGTTTGTGGAATGTAGGAATCATGGCTTTGTACTACTGGAGATTGGCTGTATGATTTAATGATTTCATCAATATTTGTGACAGGAATTCCATTGTTTGATTGGTTGAAGATTGGACTTTGACCCTCTGAGAACTCAGCAGGTGGTGGTACGGCAGGTCCATATGTTGAAAACTCTACGGGAGGAGGCACCGCATAATTCCAGGATTCAGATGACTCATCCATTTTTGAATTTTCTGAGGTAAACTTAAAATCTCTTTTACTTTTATTATTGTCACTATTTTTTATCTTTTCTATGTTTGGCACTTCTGATTTTTGATTTTGATCACTTAAATTCTGACCTACTCCAGTCTTATCAAAATACTGAAACTTGTTGAGCACCACTTCATTATCGGAGTCAGATTCTGGAAGATCTGCAATGAAATTTTTTCTCTGCTGACTGGGTGAATGTAATGTCAAAGTGGAGTCAGTATTTGAAACTTTTAGTGAAATCTCAAGCTGATCTTCATTTTCCTTTGGCCGAAGTAATTCCAATTCTAAATCACCCGAATTTCCTTCTGATTTCAGAATAGAAAGACACTTTGCCTGTGACACATTACGAAGACTGATTCCATTGCAAGACACAAGCCGGTCTCCCACGCGTATGTGTTGACTCCGGGCAGCTGCTCCACTTGGTAGAAGTCTCTTGATCTGAAAAATACAGCAGATCTTTGTTCATAACAATTGACAAATTTCACCCTGCACTAAAAAGAAATAAAATTTGACAATTTATATTAGCAAAAGGTTGAACACCTTGCACTAATGACAGGAGTCAGAGTGCAGTACACCTTGCTTTTTGTGGTAAAACATGAATCAGTCTTGATGTTTTAAGGACATTCATCTTGTCTTGTCAAATCAGATTACCAAACCAACCCTAGTTTACTGTGACGTCAACAGACAGAGTATTTTATTTGATACACAGTTTATAAAAAACATCTCAGTTTCTATTGCTTAAATTACAATTGTTTCCTTCTTTCAAGGTCAGAAGGAGAGAGGCTAGTTTTAAACTGATTTTAAATGATGCTTCCTGGCATAAACAATACACTCATCAAGAACACAGTCACCCACTCAGTTATTATATATCATTAATTTACATAAATTCATTTGAAATTCAAAAGGCATCATATCGTCATGACTATCACTTGAAATTGATATAAATGTATTGTCTAATTTCACTAAATGGCAATTTTTAAGCAGTTTGAAATTCCCTTAATGCTGGGTTTAAGAAGAAAGAGAGTAAAACCCTGGGTCATTTTAAATCAACTCCAAGTGTGTAAAAATGTGAACTCACTCTCAAAAAGATGACACAGACCAAATTCAAATGTTTAATTTGTCATCAGAATCCCTCTCAAAGTAGGAAAGTCAACAAAGGTTCGTAAATGCAGACAGGAAATTTAATAACATGGCGGCACTTGTCCGGAATCACAGTCAATTCTGCAAACAAACTCTCAATGTACGTTACATAACTGTCAAAACATGAAATATACCGCATTCAAGTATCAAAATTACACTGCATTGATATCTCTAATCCAATTTTAAAACCCCTGGAATCATAGAGACGTCGACCAGTACTACATGTAGTGGGAGAGCCATGCAGGTGATATAGCTGTTGTACTTTTCAGTCTTCATACATCTGTAGTATTCACAACTGTGTATACTTTAAAAACGCAAGTGAATTCTTTAATCAAAATAATCCAAGGTTGAATGCTAGTGAAAGAAACAGGTTTGTCTGCCTTACATTGACACGTCAATATTTTCGCTTTAAATGGAGCAACTTGGAGAGATTAAGGATGACACACACAAAAATTCACCAATGAGGTCAATATCAACACAGGTACTCAGATTCCTTAAAAATAAAATCCACCATTACATGATCTCTCTCTTACAAACATGTTATACCCAAGTTTCGATAAACATCACGATACAGAGCAAGCATTGCAACAATTGTATCATTACATTATATATGATTAACAAAAGAATTACATTTTATCCAGTGCATTAATAAAGAGAATGTATATATTACCGTTACATTATATTTCAGTAAAAATAATACAAGTATCTTGGTTTGCATAAATTATATGTGAATTTAACAGCTCTACAGATCCCTCTGTATTCAGGCTAAAAAAAAATTTATATAAATTGAAAGAATTTGGATTTGCTCGAAGTGGATTCTCTAGCTCTTATTCCCTCATCAGGAAAACAGGTTTCTCTTTTTTAAAAATACATGAATCCAAAGTATATGTCTTTTATGGAAATTTATCTCTAATATTTGTACTTTTCAAGAAAAAAAAATTTTAAAAAAATAATTTAAACTTGAGCAATTTATTTCAAACATGCATGTCTATAAATAGAAAGTAAGAGAGCATGTAAACTTTATTGTCACAATGTCATGTGAAATCTATATGTTTAGTTAAAACAGATGTCTTAGGAGAATCTTACCTTACTTATAATGATGCAAAACTCCAAAAAGATTTGATTAAAACTTGTATGGAAAAATCCTTAATGAAAAGATCATTGGAGCCTTTAAAGGAGCCAATTAGAGAGAAGGTAGGAAATCACTTAATCTAAATCAATATTACAGGCTGTATAAACACTTCTTCCCTGATATAAACCCACTGCTTCAAACCCTGTCTGAGAGGCCAAGGTATGTGGTCATTACAGAACATTACATGGGGACCAGAAAGACACCGGACAACCGTGGCTGATACAAACTGACCAGTTAGAGGTGATCTGTTCTTATTTAAAAGGTCAACACTTATAGAACACATCCAAAAATAAACATATGAAAAATATGTCAATTTAAAGTGATTGATTATGTTAATTATTATAAAATGGTGACATCTAGAAAATTATATGCCATATCTCTTTCTCTTGATTCTTGAATATCATATGATTGTGTGATGGAACTGCATAAATCTCATAATGGGTATGTTGACTTAATTGGTAAACAGACAAAATCCATCTTAAGATTTATACACACTAACAGACAAGGATACCACCCACTGAATAGACTAAATGTGGACTAAAACATATTAAATTGACAGAGGGACTGTAATCAAGTCTCAAGCTGCATGGACTCCTTCAAAAAATTTATCATTTTATCTTATAGTTATCTGATCATGTTCAAACTGGCTTCATCATATTAAATATACTTTTCAATACTGCCATCATTGCTAGGAGTACATTTTCAATATTTGCTGTTTTTGCAGTTTGAATATTTATTTAACAAACCCATAAAGCATTCAGATAAGATCTCATGCATTTGCCATAACAGGGCAAAACAGCCTCTATCATGAATTAATTCAATCTTGGAATGTGCATACAATTTACATATAATTTATATCCTATCAAGGCAAAGAACATATTAAGTCAAACAAGTTTCCTGACAGTAACATAACTAACAACCAAAACCTTAGGTGGGTAAACAAGGAATGCACAAAATAGCTACAGTGTATATATCTATAGCATATAACAATTTTTTTTAAAATTGTGTGAAACTAAACTCTGCTCATTTTGGGTAAACACAGCACCCTTATTTTTTGCCATATGAAAAAAATCCAAACAAACAGGGGAAGCTCTTGAGACCAGTATAAGTGCTCGCTACTCCACAAAGCAATCTCAGCTATGTTAGTCGAGTAACAGACACTTAACAAAACCAAATAAGGAGTATAAACATCGGAGGGCCACCAAGAACATTCAATCACTTTATCTTATAGGAATTCCTTCTCCAAGTAATGTATCTATGTCTTAGAAAAGAAAATTAACCAACATGTGATGAACTTTTTTGATAAATTACTCAAATGATCACCTGGTTGTTTCAAAATTAAAATGACAGGCAACCCACACCTTGAAAGAAACAATCAACTTTTGAAAATACTTTATCTTCTCAAGCTGAACCTAATCAAAAAGGCAGCACTTAAAATAACAATTCACAGCTTTTTGAGGTTTGACAATCAATTTCTGAAAACATGTGGAATCTGATGTTTTCATTTGTTTGCTTGTTTTTGTTTGTTTGTTTTGTTTTGTTGTTCTTTTTTTTGCTACATTCAAAATATCTTTGTGCACAACAATTAACACTACATGCCCATTGAAAATTGAAAAGTTAATCAATGCCCTAGCTAAAACAACATGTCAACAACCCACATATATAGATGTAATATGACCCATCTATTAGCCTGGAAACTGGGTGGATCAAATCACCTGACATTCCTGCAGGTAAAAATCCAGGTAACACTTTGATATGGTGTCCTGTAATATTGAGAACAGGGGTATTATTTTACATGTCAGAACAGCTGTTCCCACATTCCTTGGATAAGCTGCATTTTAAGGTGCATGTAAATTAATGATAACAACATTTTAAAAGTCTGTGCCTGGAGGAAATGAAGAAACATGCAATGATTACTATCATTCCTAAGATTTAAGATATGTGTTGATTTTACATCTCATACATTTAAAATTATAGGAAGTACTTACATTAATTACATAAAAATGCTTCAAAAACTATATGGTTTGAACAAGATTTTGAGGACCCTTTTGATATACGTGTATGTACATACACGTACCACAGTCCTGAATCATTTGGCAATAAGGAACTGCTTACACTAAAACATTACCCTTCAGTTACATGATAACCTGTGCTTTATGCTTTATAGCTCCAGAAGATTGTAGTCATGTGTATTAACATTGAATTATTTTTCATTCTCACAATTTAGACTAATATCTCAAATATCTATACAGAGTATACCGTAAAATTTTTTGACATGCAATCAACAGCAAAATAGAGACATAAATGCTGTGTATATGTACATGTACATGTAGCCGTGTGCAATACTAAACATCTGACAAGCCTTTCTCTATTAATTCTCAGATAAGCATATACTTGTAAAGAGAATTTTTTTATTTATATGTTATAATATTCATATACAGAATAAACGAGACATACAGAGTTCTCCCACCTGGAATCCGAAGTACATGTATTAAGAAATGCATTTGACACTCCCAAAGTTAACATGATTTTCTAGAACTTGTCATTCATGTGAAATTGCTCAACCATTAAAGACCAATTTCTCTTCCACAATTAACTACATATACATGATCTTTAAACACAGATCAAAAATACTGTCCTTGAAAATACTTGTAAATTTAGATTAAATTCATAGACTATTTGCAATTTAATATAACTAAAAAAATTACAATACTCCAATTTCTTGCATTTTAAGCCAGACTGAGAAATATAAAATCAGCCATACCTTACAACTGATCAAGTTGTTCAATGAAGAGACACTAAACTGTTGACATTATACTTATGTGGCCCCGGTAAGAAGGAGAAAAGATCTCTCTCACCTGTTCTCAAATTGATTAGCTGGTACTCTGACAGGTGAAATTTTCACCAGATTACAAGTACATACGTAACTATACTCGATAAAACACAAGATCCACCATCAATACACCACTAATATCCCTTGAAGGTGACAGAATTCACTTTTCTGCTTGAGTGCGAGGTCTCGCCTATATTGTATAGAAGAGGTTATCCTGTGTAAACCTTGTGCGATCAGGCACTCATAACTAGAATTTTAAAACAGCTTAATTTTTTCTCATAATACAACAATAGCCAAGGGTCTAGTGAATGAATTCAGCTATGTGATAGAGTTTGACAGACAGTCCAGATTTTCCCTACTTTGAATTATCCAATACTGATTGTCAGTGTAGTACTGCTTTCAAAATGAAATAAATCAAGTGTTTTTGAAAAGAGGACAGAACTTGAAAGTTTGAATTGGAGAGCAAATGGGTTATAAACAAATAATATTATATTAATACCTATACTAAGTCATTTTTTTTACCATACCCTGCAAAAACATGACTTCGTTAACGGACTTTAATAACTTGAATATTCCTGTCTTTAGTCACCAAATAAAACTTTTCGTTAACTTACCTTTGAAGGTGTTACTAAATCCCAGAGGAATATACTTAACTTTTTATCTCATGAGAAGATGCATGAAGACTGATTGCTTGTATTAAAAAAATTTTGTAAATACATGTGTCACATATGGCAAGATATTCTTTATCAACTACAGGTTACGTGTGATACCTGAAGTTCTCATTACTAAATATGGAACACACATCAACAAAAATCAATTGCTAGAAAACTTGATCCATGCATCAATATAGCAGTATACAGGAAAGGACTATAGACTGTGTGTCAGATGTCGACCGTGTACTGTACGTAAAATGACAGACTGGATTGTGATGCTTGATAGACAGTAGACTGTATAGCTGATTAAAATTTACCATACCTTCAAGTATACTTAGGGTCGGATCAGAATTATCACAGTAGCAAAAAACTGTCTATTTAAAATTTACTGCCAACATAGGTATTTATTCAAGATCAATAACTGTAAATAACTCCTGTACACTGAAGATTATTTAAGTAAACAATGTATGAAATATGGATTTCTGGTAAGAAGAGATAAAAGATTCCCCTATTACTTACAAGAGGTGGGTGTCACAGTCTTATATTTATATGGGGAGGGAAATAAAACACAGTGCAATTCTACTGGGGAGGAATGTAGTAGATACTGTGCCCAACTATACAGGAGTGGACAAGGATGCTATTAGTTACATACATCATTTAGTATTAAGGTAGGGGAGTACCTCCTAAATAAGATATCGAAACACAATTTCATATATCCTGCAATGGAGGAGTGAGGGACACAGTTTACTATCCATTGGATAGAGGATGGGAACAGTTTTCTATCCTAGCATGAGGTATGGGAACACAATCTCCTATCCAAAATATGAAGGGGGGAGGGGCACAGTCTACTATCCATTAGATAAGGGATAGGAACAGTTTCCATTCCTAGTGTGAGGTATGGGAACACAATCTCCTATCCTACATATGTGGAATAGGACACAGTCTACTATCCATTAGATAAGGAATAGGAACATTTTCCATTCCTTGTGTGAGACAAGGGAACACAATCTCCTATTCTACATGTATGGGACAGGACACAGTGTACTATTCATTAGATAAGGGATAGGAACAGTTTCCATTCCTTGTGTGAGGTATGGGAACACAATCTCCTATCCAAAATATGAGGGAGGGGGGGGGGCACAGTCTACTATCCATTAGATAAGGGATAGGAACAGTTTCCATTCCTAGTGTATGGGAAAACAATCTCCTATCCTACATGTATGGGACAGGACACAGTCTACTATTCATTAGATAAGGGATAGGAACAGTTTCCATTCCTTGTGTGAGGTATGGGAACACAATCTCCTATCCCTCTAATGAGCAACTGAGGACATGGTTTACTTTCCATTAGATAAAGAACTGGCAGAGTTTGTAACCCTAGTGTAATTTTGGTGACAAAATCTCCTACAGGTGAGAGATTAAGGACACTGTCTGCTATCTATAAGGGATGTGAACAGTTTCCAATCCTTTTTGTGAGGTATGGAAACAATATTCAATCCTACTGTTGATGGACTGAGGAGTGACAAGGACACGGTCTACTTTCTTATGGAGAGGAATGGGGGACAACAAAATTGTCTGTCCTACAAGTGAGGGATGAACAACATACATGTAATCTATAATACTATTGGAAGTAGTGATCACCTATCCTTCTGTGATCCATCCTATATTTTACTTTGTGAGAGTGGTACTCTGTGCCCTATCTTACTCTTGAGGAGGCGAGGAGGCACACCTTATTCTACTGGGGTGCTTTGGACAATATACTCTTTCTTTTCTTTGGGAACAATGAAAGACACAATCTCTCCTTCAAGCTTGCAGTAATAATAGGCATCCAAGTTTTGCCATGAAATCATTAAACATTCATATGCATGGTTAGGACAAGTGCAATAAAATAGAAGCATAAAAATCATCTTCAATGAGTATTTATTTGGGGGGGGGGGTTATCTTATTAGACATATAATCATAGTAAATATCATTTTTAAAGTAAAAATTGATGCAAATTTAACAACTCAAAAACAATGCTTCACAGTCATACAGCACACTTGATTCTGACGAGTCAGGAGCGCACAGGTAAATTGGCTATAGCAGGTGACACACTTGATTGTGAGCCTGTATTGAGCTCACATCACGCAAGGTGAGCTGATTGAGCCAGAAAAATTTGATAGGCTAATAGCCATATTTACCTGGCTAAGTTAGGCTGGGCTGAATTTTATCAGAATCAAGTATGCTATTATTTTCCCCATGATTCATTCAGCCTGCATTCAGAAAAGTCACCAATTTATGACAGCAAAACTTGAAAATGTTTTTTTTTTCATATCAAAATTACCATTAAAAAAAAATCAGATGTACAGTAATTATAAACACCATCTTTTTTAATTTTCTATGTACCCCAAGTGCTTACTGAGGAAAATATAGTAAGATAGAGATGTACTACTCTGTGAGGTATGATTGAAACATTGGGTACAAGAATGTGCTGTATACCATACTGTAACTTCATAAGTAACATATCAATATGATCAGCCAAAATGCCTATGGCAAAAAAACACTGTAATGTATATGTTTTAAAGCTTTAAATATAGTGACCTTTCTTTTACCTGTTTTTGCATTTCTTACAATTTGAGGACAATTGCTTTAGAAATTTGTTCCTTTCAAGTAAAATCTGATAGGAAAGTGGCACAATTGTCCCATTTCTTTGTTCACTGTATTATCGCTTTTAGTATCAGTTAAAGCATTTTTAGTGTATTAGGCTGTGTAGTAATACATACAAAGGAACACCAGGGTTGCATTTAATTTTTGGTCATTAGACTCAAATTTTCAGTTAAGAAAGAATTATAAAATTTTATCTTCTGAACTAGTAGTCAAAGGGAAGTTACTCTATATTTAGACATTTCCATTTCCAATTTATTTATTTATTTTATTTATTTATTTATTTTTTTTTTTTTTGTTATTTCAAATTTTCTTTTTTTATTTTAAGTTGAGCATTTTTATTTCCAATTTTTTTTATTTCCTTTTTTATTTGAAGTGGATTATTTATATATTAATCAGAATACTTTCAATATCTTTGAATTTTTTTTCCCCCCATTTCCTTAAAAAAAAAACAACGAATTTCTATACAAAGCTGATTTTTTACTGAGATATAAAACTTTTCCATAAGGTTATTAAATAATAGAGATAACTGATGTATACTCATAAATTAATTTTACCTGGTAGAACTGCCGAGTTGAACCATAGCTTGGAACAATGCTTAGACCAAGACTCTCATTGGGGTGTTTATCAATCTCCACATGTATCTGAACAAATCCATCAAACTTCCCTTCCTCCTCCTCACTCTCGGAGTAGCTGGAAGTTTCAGAATATACCAGTGGGCTTGGACTGTCCCCAAAACTCTTACTGCTGGCTAGTGACATGGCTGGAGATAACTTGACTGCTGTGGGAGCTATCCTCTTTTTTCCTCTGCAAATTTTTAGGATGACTCGCAGAGGCATTTCCCTGAGCACAGTTAAACACTCATCGTGAGTTAAAATATTGAGGTCTGTTCCATTTATCTGCAGAATTTGGTCTCCTTCTTGTATCCCCTTCTTACTGCCTGTTGCTCGGTATGCAGCACCCCCTATTGTCACAGTCTTAACGTACACAGATTTAACTGTCTGGCATGTTGGATCACTATCAATTCCTAAAATCATCCCAAGATTTTCTCCTGGTAGCCTATGCAATACCAGCACTTCTTCTTCACTAGACTCTCCAGACGAGCCATCAATTTTCTGGTATCTCCCATACACACTGTGACCAGACAAACTCTGCTCCGAGTCTGAGTTAGTCTCGTATGAGCTTGATGTGTCAGTGAGAACTGAACCAAGAGCACTCATCAGTGAACCTCCTAGTGCGCTGTCTCGAGATGATTCTGAATTAGTCCAGTTCAGATTAAACAGATTCTCCTTTCCTGGACCAAACGGATACTGATTTAAATTCCTTTTCTTGGGATTCTGTTCTGAGTAAAAATCACCTGTGTTAAAATTGTCCACATAGGGATGATACCCTCTTTTGTGTGGTGATCCAGACAGTGAGGATACAGACTTACTGGGAGGGGAAGAGGCGATGCTTTTCTCTGCAAAAGTTTGAATGTCAAGATCAGAGAAATCGGAGTCTGTTGTACTCCCCTCCATTTTGGATTTTCCTCTGATTTTCACTGGCTCTGAAGGTGACACTGCTTTCGTCGTCCTCTCTAAGTCATCAATCTGAAATTCAGCAAAAAAATTTTCTAGATATAAAGCATATTATTAGATTCTAAAAGTAAAAAAAAAAATTAAACATTTTTGAAAAACAAGGGGAAAATCACACTACATTAATTAAACAAGAGGAAGTTGAATTTTCATCTGGAATGAAAATGACAGAACCTGAGCTATAAACAGTTTATATGTAAATCAATTCCACAGAAACATTAAAGACATGTGCTGCTTGCATCTATTCAAGATCATGATTCAAACTGCACTGAGAGACAGAAGATTTTTAATGATATAAAGCATTATGATTCATTAATTACCATGTACTAAAGAAGACTGAAATTACAACAAAATAGTTCAGCAATTTTAAATTTACCTTTTAAACCCTGTCCAAAAGATTCCTGCATATATAACTATGGATTTAAGAAAACACAGACCAGTCTGCATTTCTACACATTCCTTTGTATGGAGATTAACTGAATTATTAATGAAGGGGAAATTTCTTTATGCCAACGTATAATTAGACAAAGGCTGTCCATCTTTTGCAGGTAAAAATCAATTGATTAACACAAGTGTGCCTGACTACTCGAGTTCTTTTTTTTTTAACTCAATGGAACTAATATCAGTCGTGATTTATTTCAACCAGACTGCAAAATATTCAGGAAAAGTTATTTCCCTTTATGCAGCATTTGGCAAATATAAAATAATTAACTGAGGCCATACACATAACTTGTAACTTTGCAGAATTTCAGTTTTAAAAATGAAAATGTGAATATTTTTAGATCATCATCAAAAAGTCAATGAAATCACGGTTCTACATACCTTATCATCCATCTTTGTAAATTCTACATACCTTATCATCCATCTTTGTAAATTCTACATACCTTATCATCCATCTTTGTAAATTCTACATACCTTATCATCCATCTTTGTAATTGCCGCATTTACTTGACTTTTACTCTGATATTGAGATCCACATTCTGAAAAAAAAATCAATGAACAGAAAATTTAATGCAAAATATATTGCAAAATCTTTAAGACAATTCTTATGAGGGACCAACAGGATTTTACTGGAATACATGTATGTATCAGAAAAGAATTCTAAAGGCAGCTATAATTCAACAGAGTCATCATATATTCAGTGGCAAACACACATTAACTACAGCAATGTATAATATAAAAAAAAAATCCCTGTCAAAATTTAAAAAAAAAATTGTTAATTGACATATTTATGTCGGACTCTATACACTTACAGCTGTTCAAAATTGAGAAGTATAAAAATCAGGTCAATAATTAATACAATTGTACCCTATATGCACTGAAATGATGGTTGAAACACAAAGTAATATGCAAAACATAAAAAAAACATATATTTTCACCATAAAAATAGGTCAAAATCATTAAATATGAAATTAACTTATACATGTATGTGTAAACACATTGTGTAATTTTCTACTTAAAGGTTATATTAGTCTACAAGTAAATGTCAAGGTACATTTAAGAAATAAATTTAATTTTTGAAGATTCATGAGGACATGAACTACAACACTTCATGCCGGCATATTTCATGAAGCACGTTAGCGCTTCATGATAAATATGCTGGCATGAAGCGTTGTAGCATGTACCTCATGAATTTTCAAAAATTAAATTCATTTCTTATATTTACACCACAAATTACACCATTCAACTGGCATTTTTAAAGCAAAACAGTTTGCACTATAGTTTTTACGTCAAATATGGTATAATGATGTAACGATGGAGATATTCATGCTCATCCATGGTAGTTCATGAGAAAATGAACAGTCTTCTAATTTGCAAAGAATCTTAAGGAAAAATATTTGGAAATGTAAATATTAATACATGTACAAGTAAGAAAGAACCCCTGAATCTACCAGTAAACTTTTTACCCATAAGGACCAAGTGAAAAACAAAATGACACTTCATTAATCTGTAGAAATACAAGTGTGTACATTTCTACATAGCTGGACACTTTTCATGTACACAATATCATAAATACTGTCAGACTGACACTCAGAGCTTCATCCATGAATTTTGTGAACTGTATCAAGATCACGGGGAAAAAAAGACACGAGATTCACCCTCTCTTAAAAAATATCCCACACATGTAATTCAGTATGTAAGTCTATTACAACAGGGTCAAATGTCACAGGATCAAATCCTGCCCATATCCCAACAAAGATTTCTAACATCAGCGCAATTCTAAACCCCATTTAAATCACAATAGGCAAATAATTTTTTTACATCCCCTCAGAAATAAATAATATACCAGGAGTTCCTTACCTGTGACATGCTTTCATTGTCTGATGCAAAACATGAAATATTTACAATGGGATAGTTACTGTTCACTGGTTATAACCCTATACACAGATATAAGGAAGATAAAATTCCATGTCAACAGATAACAGAGTCATATTTACTCTGTCAGTAGTTTGTAGATGAAGATATAAATTATACTCCAATCATTGTAATGATCCGATACTTAATCGTCCCAACAAAGAGTCCGCATTCCATAGACCATCAAGGGAAACAATTCAGTATTATGCAACTCTGACATGTACTTATCTCCCTTTTAATTGCAGAATTCCTACAGAATGCCAAGACATTAAATTTTTATGCCTTTTCATTTCTAAACTTTATCATACTCTTTAAAGAGTTGGATTACCGCTGGATATACCTACATATCTGCCAAATGCGTGAACATCATAACTATAGCACTTTTTGCTTTTTAGTATGCATACCAAATTTGTATAGACTAAAAAAAACATTTACTGGGTGATGACCTACTTAAATTCCAACAACTGGAGGCTTATTTTTCAAGTCAAAGACAATATCTGACAGCAATATTATTTAGATTTTGGATTACCAATTTTTATCAACTAAAAATGAAACAGCAGGCTAGTATAGACCAACTATGGCAGGCAAAATGTGTGGTGTACCCTATAGGCAAGGAGAATACAAGGAGAATACAAGAAATCCCTAATAAGCAATGCATTAATAGTTTTCCATGTTACAACATTCTTTGAAAATTACATAATTTTTACCTCATGCAGACTCTCTCTTCACATCATATGGCAGTATTTACTCCAAGTTCTCAAAGTAAAATCATGCTGTAAATTGTAATAATCCTTGAAAAAATTTTAGTCAGGTAGTTCATGGTGGTCACACGCCAACGACACCAAGTTTTTTTTTTGCATTACCTTGTTGAGCGGAGTAGTTTGCTAGTCTGCAATGAATCTTGTGGTTAGACTTTGTCACATATATCACTCTAAGGATCATCCTAGCATAAACTCATTTACCATTCCAATGGTTCAGGTAATCCTCTCCCATACATTGGTCTTTTAAAATAAATCTTTGATGCAATATTACTCAGTAGACAGAGAATCTCAGACTTGTTACTCAATGTGTATTAAGTGTTATAATACATATATGCTCCTCTGAACTTCTGGAATGTAAACACACATGTCCCCGTTACAACTGCTGACAAAACTAATCACACCTGTGAATATTCTATTGTTTTGGGGACAAAAGTCAACTCTGTGTTATTTCCAGTATTCTTCCCTCCTTCTGTTTTGGAGTAAATCAACCGACTGATGACCACAAATGTCACCTTTTTATTTATTTTCCTTGTATGTGGCCTTCCATGAGGGTCATATCATGTTTTCTATTTCTTCAAGGAAGCTAAGTTTTTGATAGTATGCTGTCAAATACTTTGTCAACAACACATCCCCTTTAAATCCCACCATTTACACCTGACGTTGAAGATTTCCAAAATTAATATTCCTAACATGAAAACGTTATAACCATCTCGTAATTTATGCCAGCCTAGAAACCACACAAGACAGATTTCCTCATATAATCCCAGTTAACATTTCTCAATACATTGATAATTGAATTAAAATCACCTTTGACCATTGCTGTCAAATTCTTTTAAAGTATGAAGTGGCATATCATAACATTGCTATTATACAGTTTAATAGCTTCAATCCTGGGAACTAGTACATTCCAAAACACTTCTAATATCAACAAGTCTTGTGTTAAGTGGACTAGCAAGAAATCGGTGACTCAGGACAATAATTGTCAATGCTATTGGGACATGGCTAACAAACACCATTATGGTCGAAGAAACATCTCTAAATATGGGGTCTTTACGATGTGTTTTGAGATTAACATCGATTGTTTTTTAATTGAATGCTCCATTAAGAAGCAGTTGATTTTTACAGGTGAAGGATTTTGTTCAGATCTAGACAATAAAACCTGTCAACACCACCACCAAAAGAAATGATAAATAACAGGTTTTACCATATAATCATGACCAATCAAAATATTTCTAAATAAAATTTGTTTTTCACTTTTTTCACATATTATAGCATATTATTAATGACATTTTGTTTATTGTTAACTCTCTGTATCAAAGACAAGCTACAAAGTCTTTTCTGGCAGTATTTATTAATGGCCATATTCTATGTCAATAAGACACTTGTGTCAACATGGAATAAAAATGTAAACAACAAAACAATATATACTGAGTAAATAAATTACATCCACACATAAAATATTGACTGTGGTCATAATCATGAATTATAAATTGAAAAAGTTTATGTTCTTTCTTTTATTGGTCATAAACAAATGAAACAGTTAGTTTAAGCAATGTCAGGTTATTTCTGGTTATAGGCTCTTATAAGAATTATCTCCCTTAAGCTATGCTGAAATGTTTGTCACAGCTGGTAAAAAAAGAGAAACTGTAGCACTATCTGAATGGAATAACCCCCCCCCCCCCCAAAAAAAAAAAAAAAAATCCTACATACATGAGGAACTAAACTATTGTTTTTTTTTCTTGTGCACAAGATTCAAGAAATATGTCGCATTACATTAAAAAAATTATTTTCAAAAATAACAAAAATTGCAATAATGAATTGCGTGTGCATGTGTGGCTTCCATTTCAAAAGTACCCTGTTAGTACTTCATTGCCCTATTACCTAATGAGAAGTATTGTGTAAGACTAGACATACATTTCAGTAAAACAACAATTATTCACTATAAAGTAAATAATTAACAGCTAGGATATTTTCATTCTCTTTTGGTTTTCAGCTACTTTACAAATACGATAGGAGACATGCATTAATACCCTTAAATGGCAGAAAATTGATCTACATAAACTACATGGGTAAGGCAAATTTCGACAAAACTTTGTTTAATTTGCAAATTGTAAACAGAATGTGGTTAACATTTTCAGAAATATAAATAAATGCATGCAAAGTAAATGTAGTATGGTTTTACTCAGATTTGAGTAAAAACTGAACACAATTTTTCAATAAAAACAAATTAAGTTAACAAACATCCTGTGGATAAAACCTTGTCATGCATTACAGAAAAAGTAAAATTTGACAGAAATGAAACAGGGACCAAACATCCTCAGGTAACACATGATGGAGGAATCATACGGTACCAGCTGAGGAATTCTGGGTAAAATCACATTTGGACTGACTGGCAGTGCTGTGCTCAAGGTCTAGAGAAATTGTCTGAAAGATACATAAAAAAATCAACAGGGATTTCTCAAAAACTTCTTTAAAAGTAAAACATGTATCTAACCTTTAAAAAAATTACCTATCAACATTCTAAAAATATATTTTATTTTTATTACATATTAGATAATTTATTTTGATATCTTGTAACATACCATTCTTTGTTAAAAAAAGAAAAAAAAATGAAAATGTAATATATAGCATACATAAAACAAAAATGCATCAAATAAATAACATAAAAGAAGAAAAAGAATTATCAGACTGAAAATAATATATTTTTGCAGACTGATGCTTTTCAAGTGCTACAGCAGCTAAGCTAACAAACAAAAGATGAAAATAAATGTCAAAGCAAAAGCAAAGTTAGCATCCAAATGCATCAAGCTCATTATCAAAATTAATTTAAGTAAAATCCATATAGCACTTAATCAAGCTTTCACTAAGTTTCCATGTGTTCAATTTGAATATCCATCTTTCATTGCCATTCTCACTAGAAAATGTCATTTCCAGTGTTGATTTAACTGTTTTTTCCAACCACAAAAACAGTGAAAACAATAAAATACACAAATTGTGCTATATAAAGCTGAATCAAGAAGAAACCTTCTCTCTCTAAAGAAATTATGCTATGTGCAAAGATATAATGGATGGTAAAAGTGCGGGTACTTTTGAAAAATTATTAGAAACATCAATGACACAATTAATTAAAATACACTGCCAAAATATACGGTAATGGTAAATATTAAAGCTAAAATTACTGTGCAAATACAATCAACACTCTTTCAAATAATTTTAAAGTAGCTAGTGTATGTACATTATTAAGCATAATGTATATTTCTGGACAGAGTGAATCATGTGTTAGATTATTCACAGTGCATGATCAACTATTTATAGTAAATGTGTATTATATATTGAGAGTACATTTATAATCAAAGAGCATCCCTTACAGATACATATATCTGGGTACCTACATCAAATTTCCTCCTCCTGAAATAGAATGTTCCAAAGTACTGTGTGGACTTTATACATATTCCCATATGGTACATACGGTATAAAAAGGAAAAAGATTCTTACAACAGTATTGATTATCCTACAGTTTTATACGGAAAAATTCTCATGCTACCCATAAAATCCACAGTGGATAAAATACAGAAGTAGATGGAGAGCCATTAAATCTACCGGTAACTTAAAAAAGCATTAAAATAAAAATAAATATTTTCTACAGTATGAGGAAATAAGCTATTTTAAAAGTTATGAGCCATTGTTAGATTGCTGTATTAAATTAGATGATGCCCTACCAAAAAGTTCCCTCCCCTTTTGATCACCAAGACGATTGGACCAGCTTTGAGGCTCCTGAAGGATTGGTAAGCATCAAGGAGAGAGAGGCCTTGAAGGGGTTTTCCATTCACTTCAACTATTTGGTCACTCCTCCTATAATCACATTAATTTAAAGCTTGTCAAATGTATTCTAATTTACAGTCAAGCCCAACTACAACATGTCTTTATCAAAACATACACCTGTCCATAAGATTTTCTTTTCTGTATAAATATGGTATCAATTCTTTATAGTTATACAGTTGAACTTCGGTATCTCAAACACTGATATCTTGAATGCCATGGATAAGTCAAAGCGATTTAGAAGTCACAACCATTTATTCTTTAAATATTTTACCCCTGATATCTCATATTCTCGGAAATCTCTGTTTTTCTCTAATCCCAATCAAGTTTGAGATAATGAGGTTTGACTGTATTTTGTTTACAGTTATCACAAAGATCAAAGAGATGCCACAGACATTATTCTCCAATAAATCACAAAGTTCATCAACAATATCAAAGTTTAAATCAATTTCCTCTAATTTTGACTGTGTTCACTAGGAAAAGGATAGAGGTATGTATCTTTTCATTGTGACACAAATTGGTGGGAAAAATTTTACTTTGGGTTCAGATTACATTGCACTTTTTCTTAAGCTTGAGATACAAATGAACCAGGAGTAGCATTTATTGTGACATCATAAGACAATTCTCATGACGTCCAAATCTACAGTAGTGTGACATAAGTGAGTTCGCAAAATGGCCGCCGTCATTCATGCGTGCGGTGCGCTTGCGGTATGTTGAATCTAATTTTTATCAATAAAATTATATTAAAACTTACCTTTTTGTTTTAATACTTTGTTATATGGCCTCTAGAGCGTAGAACACTTCGAATTCTCCTGGGAATGCTTGCATATAAGCTTTGAATATAGTGCAAAGGGAGGCTACCCCATATTTCATTGACGATTCGCTCCAGATCATTCGCGTTTCTGACCTCATGTGTCCTCCTTTGTACACGGATTTTGAGCACTCTCCAGACATTTTCAATTATATTGAGATCAGGACTTTGTGGGGGCCACGGTAGAGTGTTAACATTGTTGTCCTGTTTCCAACGATTTGAGAAGGCGGAGACATGACAGGGGGCATTGTCTTCTTGGAAAGTCCAACGCCGGTTTGGGAAATGACGAGCGATCACAGGCCAAAGACACTCATCAAGAATTGTAACATATTTCTCGCTTTTCATGTTCCCATCCACAGTTTTTAAGGTGCCGACTCCATAATAACGTATGCAACCCCAAAACATGAGGGAGGCCCGACAGTTCGTTTCCCAATCACCACGCAATCCGACACATTCAGGACGTATTCTTTCCTCACTCTTCCTCCAGACATGAACTTTATCATTTTTTCCAATAATTATCTTAGTCTCATCACTGAATATTATGGATGACCAATAATTGTTTACTGTCCAGTGCAATTTCTGTCTACAAAATCGGGTTCTCTTCTCTCTATTCACGCGTGAAACAGTGGTTTTCTTAGAAACTACACACCTCTTGTAACCTTCCTCCGATAATCATCTGTGAACTGTTCTGAGTGACACATTAGATCCTGTCCTAGCATTGAATCTGGTTGTAATGTCCTTTAAAATCTGACGACGATTGATTTTAATGCTTCGGAAAAGAACCCTGTCATCTCTCTGTGAAGTTTTTCGTTTCACCCCACTTCTCAGTAAATTTTCTATATTACCTCTTTCCCTTACACGCTTGAGAAATTTTTGGATGGTACGACTGTTTATTCCAGTTAAATTCTCAATTTTATAGCTTGAAAGACCTTCATTTGACATCTGTATACTAGTCAGTTCTCGACCATGGGGAGCCATGTTTCCAAGCAGACGATAATTGTTTATCAAAGGGGAATAATCCAATTTTACATCAATGGACTGTTTTAATTAAGTCGTACCGAAACTCATTCAAAATATTTTGTCCTTAAAAGTAGCGGTTACGTTAATTCAGCAACTGATTTACTACCCTTCTGAAATATTTACGTTGACGGCGGCCTTTTTGCGAACTCATTTATGTCACACTACTGTAGCTTCTGCATTTCTCTATATAGAAGTTTAAATATTTGCGGTAGCAGAATAGAAATAATTCCCCCGTCTTCGGGATTGTTGGAGAATATACTCCTCAATCTCAAGATTATGTTGGCAAATAAAAACCTTGTCCTTCAGGCTTGGTTTTTATTTGCCAACAAAATCTCTCCACTATTGGGGTATATTCCCCAACATTCCTCCTAAGCGGGAATTATTTCTCAAATGTAACATACAAATACATGTCAATTTTCAATAGTCATTTATGACATACAACTGGAATTTTTACCTCAGTGAGATGCAGTGACTTTACTGTTAATAGTCTCACCTTAGTCTGCCATCCTTGTCTGCAGGTGAACTGGTATAAATATCCAGTGACTTTACTGTTAATATAGTCTCACCTTAGTCTGCCATCCTTGTCTGCAGGTGAACTGGTATAAATATCCTGTATAAATATCTGGCTCACTCCCTTACAATCTTTTCTAATCAGAGATATTCCAAGTCCTATCCCATTCTCTGAAAATGAGAGAACAAGCATAAGGATGGAAGGACACAATGCTAACTCCATTTTTATCCAGCCATACATTTCCTCCTTTCCTATAATTACATAATTTGGTGTTGTTAATCGCCCCTTTATTTGCAGGTGAAAGTCCACATGAGGCAAATAAGAACTTGAATTGTGTCTTCGAGGGCAAAGACAATTAAAAGAGGGAGGGATGTAATGATTTGGGCCATGGATATCAGCCTGGGCAACTCAGTTATAGTAGAGCACCTGACTAAAGATGCAGGGGTCCTGGGTTCAATTTCCGATCCAGCAATACAATTCCCCTTTTCTGTAACAATTCACTCTTTCAAAAGCAAAAATTTTATTCAATAATAGGAAGACATGCAAAATTGGTCAATACCTGGTATATGTTATGCTGATAAATTTTTGCCTCTTTTATTATTGATTTACAAATTTAAGGAAATTCCACCCTCCTGTGATGTGACATCGGTTTTAGCAAAAACTGTTATTATTTAAATTCATACCCACTAGGAAAATATCTTTCGAAAGAATGTTTTTCAATGGGTGTAATGAAAAATATTGTAAAGTAAATGAGTTAAAAAATTGAATATTTTCCTAATTTAATCAATTATTTAATCCTTAAAAAATGTTGCTAAGGGCAGTAACTCCTGCTGATGTATAATCTTCATTCAGACATTTTCTATATTCTAATGTAAAATGATTTTTCCTGATATTCACAATTCAAAGATATTTATAAAGAAACAATTATTTTGGAACTTTCATCATCAGAATTATGTATTTGAACCAATTTTTACAATTGTTTTTATTATACTGTTTACGAAAAATTTATGATTTTCTTATGCTGACATTTACTTCTTGCGTATGTATTTCTTGCAACTTAAAAAATATGGAAACCTATACATTTTTGGTGATTATTAATTAATTGAAACTATATTCATTGAAAATAAATGCAGTTTTTCTACCCATAAATTCATAAGGGTGTAAATACCTTAACAGCTAATATTCACACAATTACATAATAATAGAACCAAAATGGCACCAGTATTAATTGTTAACAGAAGTAAATAATTGTTCATTGAACAGGCAAAGAGAACTTTTTTTTAAAAATGTTCAAATTCAAATTTATGACCTGGCTCCCTAACCTTTATGAAGTAGAATTTCTTGCAGAGAATCCTCTTCAGTTTGACCAGTAAGTGAATACTCTTGATCATTCACCAACCTAGGCATTCTCTCCTCTATTGAATCACAGAGTCTGTTGTCATAGTTACTGACATCAGAAAAACGTTTCTGTGTTCCCAGAATTTCATCACAAAAAGAAGCAAGATCATCAAAACTTGGGGAGGGGGAGTGCCCGGGGGTGGAAACAGGGCTACCATCTGATGAAAAATCCACAGGTGTGGTTCTGCCAGACTTCAGTGAAGGACTTTAAAAAAAAAGTTATATTACATTTGGACAATTTAAATTCATTTAAAAATTCATTCTGAAGTGATTCTGAGACTGTAAGAGAAAAGTACACATTATACAATCAATTCAATCAATATTTCTTCAATACATAACAATAAGTGTTTGTGAAATACTTATGCCCTCCGTATGGCAGCTCAAGGCCAATGTTTTAGTTTTTCAAAGACAAATTCGAAGGTCAAGATGTCAAAAATGTTGGTACCAAAAAAAAGGTTTTGTCACAGGAAATACAAATGTGAAATTTGAAAGCCCTAACACCAACCATTCAGAAGTTATGGCCAAGGTTAAAGTTTTACAAAAGAAGGTTATACTCCAAGGTCATGAAGTCAAAAATAATGGTACACAAGGAATGGTCTTGTCACAAGCAGTATATGTGAAATATGAAACCTTAGCACCAACCATTCAGAAGTTATGGGCAACGTTAAGGTTTTACAAAAGTAGGTCATACTCAAAGGTCAAGGTCATGAGGTCAAAAATATTAGTACCCAAAGAAAGGTCTTGTTACAAGGAAAAACAGATGTGAAACATGAAACCCCTAGCACAAATCATTTAAAAGTTATGGCTAAAGTTAAAGTTTTACAAAAGTAGGTCATACTCTAAGGTCATGAAGTAAAAAATAAGGAATGGTCTTGTGACAAGCAATACACATGTACGGGTAAGGTAATTGTTTTACAAAAGTAGGTCATCCTCAAAGGTCAAGGTCATGAGTCAAAATATTGGTACTCAGAAAAAGTCTGGTCACAAGGAAATACATATGTGAAATATAAAAGCCCTAACACCAACCATTCAGAAGTTATGGTCAAGGTTAAAGTTTTACAAAAGTAGGTCATATTCCAAGGCCAAGGACATGAGGTCAAATAATATTGGTACTCAGAAAAGGGTCTGGTCACAAGGAATATACATGTGAAATATGAAATCCTAGCACCAACCATTCAGAAGTTATGGTCAAGGTTTAAAGTTTTTCAAAAGTAGGTCATACTCCAAGGCCAAGGTCATGAGGTCAAAAATATCTGTACCCAAAGTAAAGTCTTGTCACAAGGAATACACATGAAAAATATGAAACCCTGGCACCAACCATTCAAAAGTTATCACCACGGTAAAAGTTTTTCAAACGTATGTCAAACTCCAAGGTAAAGGTCATGAGGTTACAAGGAATAGGAATACACATGTGAAATATGAAAGCCCTAGCACCAACTGTTCAAAAGTTATGGCCAAGGTTAAAGTTTGGTAAAATTTCACAAAAGTAATTGAAACACCAAGTTCAAAAGGTCAGATATGTTGGTACCCAAAGAGAGATCTTGTTACAAAAATATGAAACCCTAGCACTAACAGATCAAAAGTTATGGGCATGCAAGGTTAAACTTTTTGCAGACAAACAGAGACAGACAAACAGACAGACCAAAAACTATATGCCGGCACCCCTCAAATCTTTGATTACAGGGGCATAAAAGGAACTAGACAGCAGGGTATAGACCATTTTACCCAATTACATGTCCTGCTTTGTAATTATATCTTAATCTTAATTATTCTTAAAATCCATTACCTGTTTATCTCTAATGTTCTCCATCTATGTTAAATTCATAAAAGAGTGTGGTTATAAAATCCAAAAGTTAATGTTCAATGTAAAATTTCAATCATCATTTCAATTTGACCATTGACCTTGGCCTAAAAATGCAGTCTGTATGTTTAAAGGTACTAAATTTCTTATGCCACATAAATAAGATGTTCTCAAACAGACAGACAGACAGGATAACCATGATCAGGCACAGCATCTTGGATGTGTGGTCCTAATAATCAATTTGAAGACAAAAAATTTAAGGATTTCAAAGATTAAATTTTACAATTACACATGTACTTACCTAGAAGCACGAGACCTTGACCTTCTACAAAAGGTAATGGATACAGGTCCTTTTTTCAGTTGTCGGAATTTTTGTATGGCTTCTTTATGAGAGAGGCCTTTCATTGGCTGGTCATTGACCTTCAGTATCTCATCTCCTATAAGCAGATCAGATGCTATCAGTCACACAGTGTCCTAATGTAAATGACTTTTTCCATGTGACAATATCGATCAAACAGCTGTTACTGCTGTCAGATCATCTTCATTAAATCTCCATAAAGATCTATACTTTATACAATCAGATGACAAACTTGATTGTAAACAGTGATTACATTTAAGTAGAAATGCTTCCATGGTCTAAAATGTTTGTCTCTTCATTGATCTCAAATTCTGAAAAGTTTACAGTCTTCTCCACTAAATATACTGAAGTCACTTAATTATTGTGAAATATTGGTTATTTTCAAGTACCTAAAACTAAATCTCCAGTCTCAGTGTCTTATTATCTTTGCAATAAAATATAGGTTAAATTGAAATTGCTTATTCTGAATTATCGCTTATTTTGAAGTAAATTATCGGTCTGCTAAGCTGATAATGAGTTGTTTTTATAATGCTTATATTGAAGTCCTCCTGGACAGTTGTCGTCATCGTTATTGACATCATAATTTACAGCCCGCTTTTTTATGTACACATACAGTATTTGCTCATGTCCATATACATGGAGAATTAAATATGCCCCTACCCTCTTTAATGCTTCCTTCTTCTGCTACAAGCCCATGAGATAAAATTCTTCTGACATAGATTCCTAAACTGCCCCTCTCAGAGTCACTGCCCCCTACAATTGTAAACCCTAGTCCCTTTCCTCGGGCCCCCTTGTTTATGGTGACAGTCTGGAAGAGTTCACTAGAATTATCTTCTGTTTTCACTTTGTTAGTACGGTCCAGAGGTAAATCAAACTTCTGAAATGACAAAATTAGATATCAAACTATGAAAACAGAAAATATATTTTTTTCAGACTATCTCAGTTATCCACATTCTTAATGGAAGGTCTGATTATCAAACACTAAAATCACTACTTTGGTTACCCACAAGAAAACAAAAAATTAAATCCACATTTATTTTTTTTTTTTTACTTACTGGTAGAATAAAATTTATTGTTCAATGACAATTTCGCATTACTTTATCACAAAGAGAAATCAAAGCAAAGATTTCATTTTCCAAATTCCATGACGCTATAAATTTGCACAGAGCCCCCCCCCCCCCTTTACACACACACACACACACATAAAGATACTGTATTAGGGTTTAATTTGCTGGGTGTATAATTTTGCCTTTCAATTTGCACATAGACCCTCATCCCCACCCACACAAAAGATGGTGTATTATTGGGGTTTCCGGGTTTAATTTGGTTGGAGTATAATGAATTTTGCAACGCAGGTGACTGCATTTCAGGGTGACTCATAAACTCATGATAGTCAAATCAGTGTAAAATAAATATTGATGTGATCACCAGCGGAGATCTAGTGTACTTTTCCCATAGGGTAAAATCATAATATCTACAGATTATCAGGTAATACACCCTAACTAAAAACCAGCCACTGCTTTAGGGTACAACATTAAATTATCATCAACACTACACTATATTTATGTCATACTATGTATTTCTGTAACTAAAATTTTCCATATTAACCAATGTATTTTGGCCCCTATCCAAGTAGTGGACATCAAAAAACAAACAAATTCAAAGAATTGTGGTCTGCCACTTTCGGCGTCTTAGTGGATGGGGTGCAATTATTTATGGCATATTGTAACTGTCTTGCCTGTGTGTCCTGTCTTGTCTGTCCATTTATATACAAAAAAGATTTGAATTTTTGAATTAATAAAAGTTACAGCCAAGATTTAAGTTTCTTAAAACTGCATCAAACCTCAAGGTCAAGGTCATAAGGTCATTCAATTATTATTATTACAATCTTAAACGTCTTGTCACAAGTAATGCACATGTGAAAAAAAATATGAAAGCCCTGTTACTTCTAGAGCAAAAATTACAACCAAAGTTAAAATTTCAAATATTAAGTAGGTCAAAACTCTAGGTCATGAGGTCAAAAATTATAGTTCTTTTTGAAAGGTATTGTTAAAGGTAATGTACATGTAAAATATGAAAGCCCTATCTTCTGTCATTCAAAAGTTATTACCAAAGCTAAAAATTTTGAAAAGCACACAGTAGTCTAAACATTAAGGTTAAGGTCACAAGGTCAAAAATCATAGTAACTTGGAAAGTTCTTGTAACAGGTAATGCAGGTCAATATGAATGCCCTGTCTTCTCTCATTGAAAATTTATTATCAATGTTAAAATATTTGAAAGTAGGTCAAGCATCAAAGTCAAGGTGTAAAAAAAAAAATGATAATGCATTTGGAAAGATTTTCTCTCAGGTAGTATACATGTAGAATATGAAATCCTTATCTTTTCTCATTCAAAAGTTATGACCAAGGTTAAAGTTTCTCTGTCAGACAGACTGACAGACAAATGAGATTTATGGCTCCTCACTTTCATGAAAGCGGGGGCCAAATAAAAAAACACAAGCAAACAAAAAAAAAAACTAGTGGAAGTACTGAAAAGTGCTAAACTTATTGATAATTGAACATTATCATTCTGAAATTTAGAAATCTCAAAACTGCATGAGGCTGCATGTATTCTTTGACTAAATAAGGGAACAGCTTTGTTCAACATAATATACAGGAATTAAAAAAAAAATATTATTGTCCTTTCTGAATTCTCCATCATAAACTATATTTCTGCACTCAGTGGTTTAATTGCTCTTGCAACATCAGGCAAAGAGATAGGCTACATTCTTTAACACTTATCAAAGAACAACTTGTTTAACACATTTATAATTAAGCCTATAGCAGCGGTCATCCACAAACATGACAATGAAAGTAGAAATCCAATTGGTGACAAAAAAAAAAACCCTACTTCACCAATGCTTAGCACTTCAAAAAACAAAAATGGACAATGTGACATTCATCAGAGGTTAAAGATTTTTTTTTCAAAGCAAATTCTAAACAATCTTGATGCCTATGTCAAAAAGTAGCAGACAGAAGAACATGCAAAATGTCTTTGATCCCCTTTTGGGGTGACTTTAAAAACAAAAACAAAAAAATTTACAATTAGACATCAATGGTTGTTTCAAAATTATTGATCATTTATATGGATTTCAAGGGAAGCTTCATTTTAGACTTTATTTTCCAATTTCATCAATTCTAATAGAATTTTCAACAACTTAAAAGTTGCATTTAGGTTTTGTTTGTAACCCTTACACTGTTTAGTTTTAGTTTATACTTTTTTTATTTGAATTTTGTTTGTAACCCTTACAACCTATTAAGTTTTTGTCTGTAACCCTTACACTGTTTAGTTTTAGTATATACTTGTTGTATATGTGAATTCAAGTTTCTAGCTTCCTTATGGTGATATAAATAAAAAGCATTTGTCACCTACATTTTAAATGTGTTCTTTAAAAAATAGGACACTTGAACTTCCTGTAGTATTTCTTTATTGCATTAAGGAAAAGGAAACATCATGGTAAAAATAACTACATGCAAAAATTCTTATTTTAATGAAGGGATTTTTTATTTTGTGTGTGTGTGTTGTGGGAGCCAGGGATCATAACTCAGAGGAATGTACGATAAATAAATTCTGCCTCTGAGTAAATGCAAATAGTGATCCAATATACATCTAAAAATCTAAAATCAAAATTCATAAAATGACACCTTAGGTCTGTGTGCATGAAATAAAAATTAATTCCACAATCTTTTCACATTTGTCCAGAAAAATTAACTATATGTGCAATTTAAAAGCTGAAATTTTCAAGCTCAAATTCCATTTTTTTTAGTCTACAGTTATAAATTTTGTTTTCTCATACATTGGCATAGTATCATGATTATAATAAGCCGCACTAGCTTGATTTGCATAATTAATGATCCCTTTGCTGTAACTTCAAATGATAGGATAAATACATGTCAAAATTTTCAAATTAATGAAAGATTTGCAATGGCAATAAACCTGCATCAAGTCCTCCCAGTTAAACACTGTTCCACTTGGTGTCTGAGCAGTGACTTCTGGGATAGACAGGTCAGGGGTCATGACCTCTGTTGGAAGCTGCTGGGAAGTGGGAATGGAACACAGGCTTGGAACAGATGAGGATCCAGTAGATGCTACAGATGAGGACTTTCGTACCTAAAAAGTTCTAATTATCAGCTCATTTCAACCTCTCATTGCAGACCTGTAGCTCAATAGTCTGAAAATATTTGGCTGATTTTACATCCCATTTCTTCTCAGACCAGTGAGGTACAGATCAGCAGCTACCAAAACTCCTCATAAAAATAGAATGGGACCTGCATGACTAAAATGAAAAGTATGGAATGAAATAACCAGGTATTAGGAAATTATAATATACCGGTATGGCATTTGTCATTTTTCTACTTCTGAATGTTCACTCTAACTTCACTAGCTTTTCCTCTCACTGTTGTTTTCATTTCATCCTAAAGTCCCTTTTCTGCCTTGAGTATGACCTTAGTGAGTTCAGGTAAGATTGCTGTGATACCAAACCAACATAACCTTATATGGACAGTCTAATAATGACATGGTCAAAATATGTGTCCATCTGCATCTTTTACATTTCCAGCTATTTAAATTTACTAGTTTTTAACTTTTGTGTCTCTATAACGGCTTTTGGAAATCTCCCCTGAAGGCAGAATGTAACTTCTGAGCAAATTCCAAGGTGTAAATTGATGATGATTACATTTAGTTATTGGCACATTACTATATTTATATTAACTATTTATGACTTGGCAGAAAGATCTACAGTAATGGTCAATCAAGCAGTGGGGAAGATCTACCATTCTCTGTGCTTCATCAATTAGTGTTTTTTTGGGGGGGTTGCTACCATTACTGACCTTTGAGGCAACTACGACCTGCACTAGTTTTGGAGAATTTCGGAGAACATCTACTGCCTCACAGTGAGAGAGCCCAATCAAACTTTTTCCATTTATCATCAGCAATTCATCCCCACGCTTCAATCGTCCATCTCTGTATTAATCAAAATAATATATACTTAATTAAATACATCTATATTTTTTTCAATTTTATTATTACTGCTTTCATGAAAGATGAAAGTTTGAAAAAAATGCTGTAGAGAAATATTTTAGAAAATGCATTAATAATAAATGGAGTCTAAAATAGCGAATTCAAAGGTTACAGTGTGATTTTAACAAGAGGCCCAAGGGCCTCTTGAATTATTACTGCTTTCATGAAAGATGAAAGTTTGAAAAAAATGCTGTAGAGAAATATTTTAGAAAATGCATTAATAATAAATGGAGTCTAAAATAGCGAATTCAAAGGTTACAGTGTGATTTTAACAAGAGGCCCAAGGGCCTTGAATCGCTCTTCTGATAAACTGTACAACCTATCACTTCTATTTGAAGCCTCTAAGTATCCTGTATTTTTAGATAAAGCCTTGAAATTCCAAAGGTAGGTCATCATGACCTACATTTTAGATGAAACACTCTGAGAACCAAGATGATTCTAAGCCAATTAGTACCTGAGAGTAGGTCATGGTGACCTACTTATCACTTGTCATTCTCTGAGGACCCAAAATACATCAACTAAGTTTGATGATTCTAAGCCAATTAATACCTAAAATATTTTTAAAATTATAACCATAAAATTTCAAAAGTAGATCACAGTAACCTATTTTTCAGATGACATACTTTGAGGACCCAAGATGCATCAACTGACAAAGTTTGATGATTCTAAGCCAATAAGAACCTGATACATTTAAATAAAGCCATAAAATTTCAAAAATAGGTCACAGTGACCTCCTTTTCAGTCGACTAACTCTGCGGACCCAAGATGCATCAACTGACAAAGTTTGATGATTCTAAGCCAATTAGTACCCGAAATATTTAATTATAGTCATATAAATTGAAAAGTAGGTTACAGTGACCTACTTTTCAGTTGATGTTTTTTGAGGACCCAAGATGCATCAACTTACTAAGTTTTATGATAATAGGCCTTAAAATGTCCAAATTATGCCTCTAAAATGCTTCAAAATCGAATGCCTGCAAAGTTCAAAAAGTAGGTCACTGTGACCTACTTTTTAATAAATATGTTTTATGGCCCCAAGATGCATCATCTTACAAGATTGAATGATTCTAGACCTCTCAGTATTCCAATTAATGACCTTAATTGTTTTGAAAAAGATTAGCCATAAAATTCAAAAAGTAGGTCAAGATGACCTACTTTTTAGTTGACATACTCTGAGGACCCAAGATACATCAACTGACAAAGTTTGACGATCATAGGCCCTAAATTGTTCAAAATATGTCTCTAAATCATTTTGAAAAAGAATGACCGCAAAATTTAAAAAGCAGGTCACTGTGACCTACTTTTGAGTCAACATGATATGAGGTCCTTAGATGCAACAAGTGACAAGATTTGATGATCCTAGTCCTTATAGTAAGCAAAACACCAACATTTTAATAAAATGTAATTTCTGGTCAACTTTGAAGTGACCTTGAGACCATGCCCTTGCTCCACGGTGATGCCTTGAACAATTTTTAACCTACAACATATCCTCATCCTTTTGTGTAAGTTTGGTGATAATCTGCCCAGTGGTTCTTGAGAAGAAGATTTTTTAGCAACCAGTACTTTTGTTTCTATTTTCCTAATTATCTCTCCTTGTTTAAGGGTCACAGCCCTAGTTTTAGTATAAATGGGAGCCCTTGGGCCAAGGATACCCTGTGACAAATTTGACAATAATTGGCCAAGGGGTCCTTGAGTTATGGCCCATATTCTAAAAAGTTTACTCACACCGCACAAATGGCCATAGCATTAACTCTTTGAGCCTTTGGCTCAGAAGAGCTAAAAATTGTGAAATTCAAACTGTAGACAGTACAGGTATATGTTATGCTATCAGACAGTCTCAAATCATGTTTTCTTAATATATAGTATGTCATAAACTCAAGAGGCCCAAGAGTCAAAATGCTAACCTTCTTTTCCTGAGAAAATAAATATGTAGATAATTGAAACACATTACTGTCATGTCCATAATTTTTCAAACCTTATTTCAAGTTTTAAATTTTTTTTAGACTAAGTCTTGATGTTTTTACAAATATAATATTTTTTCTGTACTTTATTTCCCCATTGAATCTCCAATAATAATAAGTTGTGAGCTAAGAGCTTCAGGTGACCTAATAAGTTGTGAGTTATGGTTCAGGTGAGCTAAAAATAAGTAGTGAACTCTGCTTCAGGTGAGCTAATTGTGAGCTATCTGAATAGTTTTCAAACAAAATTATTCATTTTTCTGAAAAAAGTCAAGGAAGTATTTTTCATAACTGAAGCTTCTTGAACAATTAAACAAAGAAACAGATGCACTAATTAAAACGAGAGTCTGAGTGTTCCTGTTTGTATTGTAAGATTTCTCATTTAGGACACAGAACTGATTAGAAATGGTTTGATGAATAAAACAGCTCTTGGTTAACCCACTGATAGGCTCTGTCAAACTACGGATGTATGGAAAATGTCTTCTTTGGTGAGGCCTTTTGTGTTTCAAAAATTGTTTTTTTCTTTCAATTATCTAAGCAGTAACAATTCAACAGATAGAAAAGTTTCACATGACAGGAAAGACCGTGTCTGCACTAAAAGATGTTTTCATCACTATATCTGGCATTAACTATTAGCATCTATCACAATACATTCCCTTATCTTAAATTACATGCCTGCACACTCGTAAAAAAAATTACATTTCCAAAAAAAAAGTTTTCTGAATTCCAACATATTAAGTAGCTAATCAGAATTTACACCATGTCGTGTCATGCATGTAAACTTAAATATTATTCATTTGGAATTATTCCTTATTGCACATGTATAGGTATCCATACATATAATTGCTGAAAGATAGGACATGATTTAAGCAGTCTCAAGGATGCAAACAAGTTTCCTTTCCACCATAATTGTTTCTGGTTCTTCCTTGAGTAAATCTAGAATAGCAACAACTCAACAAAGCTATGTATACACAGCATTCTAAATTGAGCAGTAAAAATACCTGCTAAAATGTCATTATAATTATCATAGCAAAATAAAAAGAAAATTGTTAAATATTGTCCCTTTCAACCCACAATTACTTTTGTCAATCTGTTACAATTATTCTTCTCTCACTAAATTCATATCGTATATTCCTTACTCTATTTGTGACATTGTAATGCCTATTATGTGAGTACTCTTTAATATTTACATTTCCAATGTCTTTGTCCGAGATAAAATTACAAATTGTAAAAATACTTTATTTCTACATAAATCTACTGGTTCATCGATAGGCGCGGTTAAAAAAAAATCACGTGCGGGGCGGGACAAATAGAGACAGAAGCGGGGCTATTAGCACGGGAATTTGCAGAATCAGGAGCATGTAAATATAAGGAATAACTGTCAGATTTTTTGGATTCATGACGATGATCAATCGATTGGCTTGCGTGATAATTTTATGCATAAACGCCTTCGGCGTTTATGCAAATTATCACGCAAGCCACTCGATTGATCACATCATGAATCCAAAAAATTAGACAGTTATTCCTTAAGTACACACCTGAATGTACTCAGAATAATCTTCGTTGATCTTGGAACATTAGCCCTCACATCTATTTGCAATGTAGCAAAGCAGGATAGATCAATTCTAGCTATCACAATTTTGGAGAATACAAATGAATTAAGTTGCTTTTAAACTGAGATTGTCAAGCTTATCTGCCATGACAATGAATTGTTCATAGAATAATGAGCATCAGAATTATCTGCCCCTGTTTATTTTGCTACAGGAACAAATTCTACCATTAAAGTGGGTCAGTAGGGCAATATTATTGTAATGATTGAATGTTGTATCTAACCTGAATGCTGCTCCGCCCTCTGTAATCCCTGCCACAAAGATCCCAATGTCTCCTTTCTTGGATCCCCTCCCTCCAGCAATGTGAATTCCTAGTCCATTCTCATCTTTCAGCAAATGCAGTTTTGTAACAATCCGTTTCTGAATAAGTGACATTTAAAAATATATACACAAATCATATAAAATTTGCATAGTTATTATTTGTCTCTCTATTTCACTAAAAGAAGAGCTCTGTTCACTTGCTCAAGTAACTTAAGTTTTATTTTTAAATAATGTCCATGTGATATCGCTCAGTTATATTGTTACACTATTCTCTAAATGCAATGCATGGAAATTCCAATGTCATGCATATTTTTCAAATTTTTCCTGTTAATTATTAGTTTAAACAACAAACCAACAAAGCAATTGACAGCCTTTTAATCAATGTTTTGTCACATCAGAGTTATGACCATGATGGGAGTTTCCTGCTTTTTTTTGTTTCGGACTCTACCTGACTTTGAACCTGGCCCCAAGACCATAAACTGAGAACAGGCTTAAGTCAAAATTTCAAATCGAACTAACTTTTGAAATAATTTTGATTATAAGATAAAATTTTCATCATATGTTTGAATTGAAGTGATATGTGCAAGTGCAAATTTTTAAGCTAATATGTTAAATGAATTAAACTTAAGATATTAAAAATCAAATTTTTTACTTTTAAGTCTGTTCTCAGTTTTTTGGTCTTGGGGCCTGACCTAGCTTGTGTTATTGACACTGAGGCAATGCACATACTACAACATTAACCAACCATATATACTACATGTAAGCAATGGGCTGGATAATAAACTTTTATGGTAATACATATACACTGTAATGATTTAATAATTCAGTATTATGCTTTGGAGTTCACAAGTCTGTCAGAGGGGAGATATAAATTCAGAGCCTCATCAAAACAGATATAAATATTCTAAATCTGTCTCCAGTGCTATCTTTACCTTGGGGACATGGCTACTGCTTCCACTGTCGGAGCTGTAACAGGAAGTGGGGGTCTGGGTACCACCCCGATCTTGGTGGTACCGCCAACCTTTCTTGTTTTTCTTGTACAGATGCTTACTTGTGTTAATGCTGATTAATTCTGGATCAGAACTGTACATATTAGTATCTTGTTCAGTTGAATTTTTTAGGGAACCTACTTTCCCTCGTTTTTTAAGAGTCATTTGAGCAGTGTTCACAGTGTCCATTACATCTTGTGTGAGGTTTATTGGGACAGTATTCCATTCAACAGCATCTTCTATAACAGAAGCACTATGAGTCCTGTTTTTGTTTCCTATATTTACATTCACATAGTCTGACTTGGAAATCTGAGAACTGGGAGACACACATATTGCACTTTCACTCATTTGATGTTGAAACACTTGTCTAGAAACATTGAGTGAATGGTCCTCAGAATTGTCTATGAACACATCATCGATTGACCCCATGTCATTTCCAAGGCTACCCATGGAATCAAGAGTCAGTGAGCTGCCATCATTCCTGTTGCCAAGGTACCAGTTGTCATGACCTCCAGAGTTGCCAGGCAATGAATCCAGAGACTGTGTCATGATAGATTTATTCTCCTTTTCCTGGTCTTCTTCAGATTTACTAGGTGTGTCCTGACTGGTGGGGGGAGGAGGTGCAGGACGCTTCTTCTTCCTGCGTAGAGTCATGGTGACTTTTCCTGATCTTACTGCATTTGCCAACAACAGCCTGTAGACATTAATTAAAATATTTATCAGTCTGGCACCAATAATTATTCATTTTTATCAACTGACTATAAAATCTTGAGCATGTTTAATGACATTTCAAACTAAAAAAAAAAAAAAAATTGTCTTAATGATGTGTTTATAATTTTTCATTCAGCATTAGGTGTATTTGTTTCCTTTCAGAAATATCAATAAGGATATTATCTTTATCTCAGAAACCCTGGGTTAATTGCCAAGATGTGTTCTGAATGCTTTTAACATTGTCATGAACCTTGACCTAAAACCAAGATATAAAAAAAAATCTTTATATCATTTCCTATCTTCCCTGATGGATACAGATTAAAAGCTACAGAAGACCATATCCAACAGAGTTTGTTCTCTGATGGTTCAGTTTTTATTTTTTTGGCACCTGTGGTTAAAAATCTGCAGTAAGAAGTGTACCTTTAACAGCAGCACAACACTCAAAAGTAACCCTCATTCTATATATTCTCAAAATAAAATCTCTAAAATCTAAAAGAATGGCACATTGGCATTAGCTGACAATAATACTGAGTTTTTGGAGGACTTAAAGAAACTACATTTTACCATCATGACCTCTTTCATAAGCACACAGGCCTGTAATACGGAGTACAATAGTACTGTTCCATCATGGATTATGTGTGATATTTACAAACTTTCAGCAATTTTTAAAAAAAAATTGCAAATTTTAATTTTTTTTAAGTACAGTTGAACTTAGGTATCTTGAACACTGATATCTCAAATACCATGGATATGTGGAAGTGATTTAGAAGTCCGGACCCCTTATTCTTTAAGTATTTTACCCTGGATATCTCAAATCCTTAGATATCTTGAAGTATATTCGGTCTCATCGGGTTCAAGCTAATGAGGTTTGACTGTATATACCAGTATGCCAATACTGGTACATGTATTCAAACAGAGTGTCAACTTTTTTTGCAACAATATTTTTTTGTCTGAAAATTCTTGCTTCACTTCAGTTAAAAGATGAAGAAATAAAAAAAAATCATGAAATACCAATTTTTTTATGCTTTGCTTTTTTTCAACTGATATACCTTTAACATAAAGTGGAGAAAATGGATGGATTAGATCAGGATTTCACAACTAGATAGGTGCTCTACCAAATCTACTAAATCTATCCCCCCCTATATGATTTTGCCCCTGAAGACACAAACCTGGCTCCCTCTTGGCTGGAAATTTTCCCGGTTGGTTCCACGAAAAAGTATGGCACCAATTGTATAGTAATAGGAAGGGAGAAAATGTGATGGACAGTAAATTTAACTATAAATGTGTCCATTGGACATATATCCCCCACCCAATGTACATTTGTACAGCAACAGTAAAAAAAAGAAATGTACCTTCATTCTTTGGTCCAAGATTGATTATTCCCATCTATTATCTAACAACTAAACAGATCAAGTCTCATTGTTTCAAGTTGATTATATCATATAAAGCAAATTCATATATGATCTGTTAAGTCTGTGTGATAAAAATGCTCCTACAGAGATTATTTATGCATGGAGTTTTCAGAAGTAAACCTTCATAGAATTAAGCAAGATGAACTATGAGTAAAATTAGGAAAAAAAGTAAAATTCAAGGTCAAAAGGAAGGTCAAAAATTTTACACACACTTCAAATGATCTCTCAATTTGAATCTGTATACAAATTCTAATGAATATATCTTTATCACTTTTCTGAAACTTAGGAAACTGAAAAATGAAGAAATAGCGAGGTCAAGGTCATTCAAAAGGTCAACAGAATCATTTTAATTTGTGGGGTTCAATGTTCATAGGTTACCAAATTTTACTGATTTGTGAGGACATATTTTCACGGATAACTCATTTATATGGTGATTCAATGAATCACTATATTGACTAAATAATTGTTCAGGGAGATGTAAATTTGTGGGTATCAAAGGTTGACACAGGAAATCCATGAACATTGGTCCCCCTTGAACAATAATGATTCCACAGTATATGAAGTTTGATTTAAAAATCTTAAAAATTGAAGTTGAAAGCCATGTGAAGGTCAAAGTCATAAGGATGGACAAGGACAGAAAAAAATATAACATATACGTCAGTTGAATCTCACCGAGTTATATTTGTGCATGAAGTTTGATGTACAGTTTCTTCTAAACTGTACGTGCTAAATGCAAAACAATTAATAGTGAGATCAAGTATAATGGAAGGTCAAGGTCAGAATTTTTGACACAGTTGAATATATAAACTCTCATTAATATGTATTAATTTAGGTTAAAATATCTTTAACAATTTCTATCAAACTGAATTAAATGAAATGTGCAAAGAACAGACAAATGGAAGGCTGGAAAGACGGAAGGTTTGAAGGATGGATGTGGCAAACACTATACGCCCTGGTCATATTCATGGAGGAGCATAAAAATATATATATATAATTAATGACTGCTTTTTTTAAATTTGATTTTCAACATCATTCCCATTATCTTTTGCTTTATGGAAAATCCACATATTGGTAAGCCCATGCAGTCAGGAATGATAAAGAACTTCTATAAATACTCAGCAGTCTTAATAAAGCAGATCTTATCTACAAAGCTGATGGATGTGAGCCTAAAACCTTTATCTCCTACAGAAATAATGCAACAATTTTCTGTTCTGACCTCTGGCATTTCAACTAACACAGTTCCCTACTAAATCAAAATTCTGATACAGTGCTGAAAGAGGGGTCAAATTAATAAAGTTCATGATTTTACAAACTTTGTAACTGATTAGACTTTTATAGGGTTTTGATGAAATAAAATTTTGAAATTTTGAAATAAAACAAAAAACAAATAAAAAATAAGCATTGTAACAAAACACGTGTATTAGATTCACTCTGTATCTAATTACCGGTAGATCTATTAATAGTCAAGGAACCTTCTAGTATACAAGTATACATGTAATCATTTTTGAAACATTAGAATTTGGTTCACCAACATTTTTGTAGAAAAATCTTCAAATTATTTTCTTTAGTTTGATTTAGAGCCTGTGTTTTTGACCATTTCAATATCTGCACCTTTTCTTTAGAGTAGATTCAATTGAGATGCTAAGCACACAGCTTCCATTTAGACTTCAACTGACAGTAGTAAACTAATAGACAGGGTCATATGAAACCCTGTCTAAAAATCAAATTGTGCTGTCTGCATGTTCATATGTTACATGTACAGCAAAGAACATAATTAATGTATGTGCTCAACTACAAACGACTGTAATATTAAGTAAGATTTTGTACAGTTTTCTGTATCTGTATATGTATTTACATGTCATTGTGACAGTGTAGGTTGTATCACACTTGAGTGCATCATATTTTGGTCAATTTGAGGGGAGCTATTTCAGTTCTATAGCTGTTCTGGAAAGTGAACTCAGTGTCAATGTCATTTCCTGTTTCACATTAAACCAGAAAATGTATGAAAGACAGCTATTACTTTTCTGGTTGATGAAGAGATGTACTTATCAACACTGTGATCGCTGGTGGCTGCAACAGATGTAGACCATGACTGATCAAATACACAAGGCACATCACTGATTCTGAATAAATATATCCACTTTATTTATTACTATTAAATTTTCAAAAGTACACAAGGCAGTTTGTGACTCATGATTATAATCATCTAATTATTTGTATTCTACCAGAAAATCATCTCCTCTACTTACAATTATTCTCATCATCATTATCCTTTAACAAATTTACTAGAACCAGTATACCATAGGACATAACAATAGAACTATACATATGTATTCTGAACTTGATGAACATAAATACTGGAAGTACAGCTCAAAGCAGATACTGAATTTTCCTTTTATATCCATCTGCATTTCAGCTGAATATGTTTAAAAGGTGACAGTCACAAACAACGAATTTAAAAGCATGTCAACATTTACATTTCCGTAATATAAAATGAATCAAGAGTGTCAACATGCATATCACTCCAAAAATAACAAAAAATAAGTTACTACATCCAGTTTAAAGTGAGAAGAGAGGGGATTATTGTGACTAAGTAAATTAAGTTAAAAAAAGAAAGCATTCATAAAATTTCTAAATCGATAGAATAATTTGCATTGCTATGACCTTTTACCCTTAAATGTTTCCAATACATTTTAAGCGTTATTCTTCCCCATGAGAACTACTGGTACATTTGTGTGTAGAGGTCAGTGATATAGGTACACGTTACAGTCTGTAACATTACAGATGTCTGTACAGATCTAGTCATGCAGTAGAAACAAGGGAGGTCTTTATAATATGCCCTCTCAAAATATCATGAAGTACATATAACTTTAAAATGCATGTATGATCAACTTGACATTTTTGTGAAACAAAACCGTTAGCGACGTGACTGTCTCATGCTTCTCCTAAAACTGATATGATCTTACAAAAGAGCTACCTTTAAAGATTCCCCTCCCTATATCTTATAAGCAGGAAATGGAGCACACTTATCTTTAAGGGTAGCTGTTGTCGCTCTCCCCTCCCTTGATCTTACCCCCAAGGAAAAGTAATTGTCACCTCCCTAAATCTGACCCTAGCTAAAGACAACTGTGTCCCATTCCCCTCCCTACATCTGACCCTAGCTAAAGCTACCTCCAACTTTACCATAAAGACAAGTATGTCCCATCCTACATTTGACCTTACCTGAAGACAAGATATTCCAATCCCCTCCCTACATTTGACCTTACCTGAAGACAAGATATTCCAATCCCCTCCCTACATCAAACCCTTCCAATCCTCTGACCTTCTATGACAGTATGTACACCTGTAATTCTTACCTTCCTCCAGTGGTACTAGTTCTTACCTGTACTCCTCTGAATCCTCCACAGAACCCCCAAATAGCCTCTCAAATTTCTCCAAATTACTGGCCATTACTGTCATGTTCTCACCTCACTAAATAAACTCTCAAAATCCAGAAATATTAGAGATGACACAAACCAATCAGGGTTCATTAATGATACAGAAACACATGATGTGCGGCATGTTAAATACA